AGAGAATGCTCGCCGCACCTGTAATGTCTTTAAATATTCATAATTTGATAAATTAAAAATCTATTTAGATTTAAAAAGGGCGAGCCGCGCGCGGGATACACGCGCGGCAGGACACACGGGTGCGGGCATGCGAGTCAAGGGCAACTAACCGCCCGCTCGCGTCCGGCAAGTCTCCCGTGGGCTCTTGGAGGTTAAGTGGGTAGTGGCCAAGCTGGCTGACCCCCACACTCCCCCCGTCACTTGATGTGGCCAGGCGGGGGCGTCGGTAAAGAGGCGATTCCTCCAAGTAAAAAAAAGAAGAAAAAAAGCTAATTGAGCTACCGTATCCGAGAGGCGTATGCATCAGTGAGATACGATAGCTCAATTGTTTAGAGCAACAGCACGGAACGCTATGAACGCCCGTCTAAGTACTGCCTGTAATAAAAAAAAAACAATCCCAATAACATGTGAAAAATAATAAGTTTTCATAATTTTACTTTTAAGCAATGAAGTGCAATTTTCCTCGTTACATTTCTATGGAGGTTACTGAGATGTCTTGCGTGTGTGTACCGGGTTTTTATACGCGGCTCGTTACGTGATGCGCATCTCTTAAGCTCAGTTTAAACATAATTTCGCCTTATAATAGCGGGAATTTGAATTTGTGTTATCCCGCTTTGATAAATGAAGACTACAGCTTAAATTATATACGCCTTCTAACGAATATGCTATTGTGCTTTAGCGCTAAATGTTCTCTTTATTGCAGGCGTTTCTTAAGTACGTGGTTTATATTTATTTTATTTTAGTATGTTATCCAATTTAAATGTTTAATTCAAAAAGTTATTACGGTTGAAATAATTTATTTTCTCGAAGAATATATATATTTACTTAACAAGAAAACTTAAAAAAATGACATCCAGTTTTTCCCGTAGGCAATGGTGGCACATTTCTATGTATATTTTTGTTTTACTGATCGGATCTACATATTTAAATACGTGGAATATAGAATCAAGACAGCGCGAAAGACTGGGATCGTAGTTTCGACTCCTGTTTCGTCAAATTAAAAAAAAAACCATTTGAAAGTTAACTACGTGTCTCGTAATACCATTTCAGAAACGCTTGTAACACTGCAATTAAAAATAATCCCATTAAAATGTTTGCCTTTCCCGAATTTATTATTTCGTGGCTCGTTTATAACCGGTTCTAAAGTCTTTGGGTTTAGTTTAACGTGCAACTCATAACGCATTAGCATGAATTTACGAGGCATCCCTGTTGATGTATGCCGCTTCGCTAGTGATAGTTGGTAATTTTCATATATTGCTGTAATTTTTAGTATGGCAGAGTGAATGTCCTTTAAAATTTTAAAGATTTATCCTATATCAATAATAACATAAAGATCGATATTAAATTGAAAATATTAGGCATCCACAGCGTTCCATGCTGTTGCTCTAAACTAGTGAGGTATCGTGTCGTACGTACGTCGTTATGGTTCAATATCTTATGCTTTGCAGCTTAAAAAACACAAAGTTTAACATTTCAAAACTTTAATATCTTTCACATGTTGCACATGATATAACTATATTATATTTATAATCCATCTTAAATTTATATAGTGCCGTAATGTGTTTCAATAAAAAATTTATTTAAAGCATTTTTTTCTTATGATCAACTACCCTCGGAGTCGCAACTTTATCCGGGCAGATTAGTTATTTTAGTCATAAGATTTGGTTTTGGACGCCTCTATAGTGAATAAAAAAGCTGTCATAAAATTGATTTGAAAATTACGGTCGTTTGATTCATATATAATGAATATTTCTTTAACTCTATGTCTTCTGTGGCAAAGACTACACTCAACAAAAGAGCATCACTATAATAAATTAAATAAAGAAATAATAAATTGCTTGGGTCGGACGGGGCACAGAAGTCCGATCAACTACTTGTCTGTTAATAAAACCGACCAGTGAAACGGACACAGAAATGTGATCGCCCCATGCCCCATGAGGAGAAACGAGATTTTTTTTTATATTTAGTCATTTATATGTGATTGGTTTTTCTTACTTTCTGTTTTGTCAGCCTTTATTGTTCGCAAGAATTTGAAAAATATGTGGATATGTTTTAGCGATATCCGATAGCTTTGAAGAGTGGAAGTTGTCTGATCAACACTGAATTAAGATTGACATTATCTTTATTGCTTGTTTGAATAGCGGCAAAAAGCCTTTTGTTGTTCTCATCGAGACAATAAGGCTGTATACATACTAAAGCTTACTGGAATTCATACAATTGATGAAACAATAAAAATAATAATAATAGAGAAGGACAGACAAGCTTGGCCATATCTCGACAAGTTTCGCTGTCGACCTATTTTGGCTTTGGATATTCGGAAATCCACAGACTGAAACCAAAACGCCATAAAAGTTAACTGCTGTTGTTGTTGCATGCTGCATGTTGGACCCGGTTAATTGTATTACTGTAAGAGGAAAGTTCTTCTATTAGAAAGTAAATTTCGTTACTTGGGTAAAGAGTTGAGACGTGTTGTATAGAAAAACTTGGATTTAAAATTAGAACACTTCTTTGGTCATCCTTATAGATAACATATGGTTTTATAAGAGTCCCTTTTTTGCAATCTAAAATTTTAAAAACTAATGCAAATGCAAAATTCTTGTAAAAACGCGTCTTAACAACTTTAATACCCCTTTTACTAATATTCGTTATGATTACTCGACTGTTAAACAGATACAGAATGTAATGAAAACATCGTAAAATACAATCATTCCCTATTTATGGCCGATTCAAATTATCTCGTGGTTTTCTTATAACAAAGAACGTCATTTATTTATTATATCACTAAAACAAATTACATCAAATAAAACTCTTAATTACAATTAATTTACAAATCAATGACGAAATAAAAAGAATTGATATTTTTTTGTTCTTTTTTTATTTAGCGAAGGTAGGTATGTTCATTTACTGAGCTAATTTTAATATACGATAGCAAACTAATCCTCGTAATAGCATAAGTAACGTTTTCTACAAAAAAATAAATGTAAAAAAGGGGAACCAAAATCAAAACAAAAATTGTTTTTTGCTTCCCCGTGAAAAGAATGGCGATCTAAAAAAAGTGACAAAAATTTAGTAGCAAGATTTTAAATAAACACGTCTTTTTTTTTATTTTTGTATAGATTCCAAATAATAGCTGTTGTAAAGCTGTTCTTTCTAGTTATTAAGTAGTCCGTTTATAGTTTAATAAACTTTACTACTTGCTTATTAAAACAGGCAACGTAGCCTGTCTAAAATTACTCCAACACACCCTTGTTTTGTCCAACATTTCATTATTAACAAAAACGACACTAAAAGAAAAGCACAGTGCAAATATTGTCGCGGTCTACCTCGCTCAGCGAGGCTTAAGCGAAATTGTACGACTTTGCAAATATATACCTTGTATAGAGCACACATTTGTGTAATCCGATCTAGGGCTACAATATCTGTGGCTGGTCTACCGTCTATGCCCCAAGAGACTCTGGCTTCAAGCAAATCTACGGCTACGAATAAAAATATGCATCCGCTCAACGTTTCCATTTCGTTCAATATATTCCAGTGTACACATTCGGATATTGGAATATTTATTCAAAAGTACATTTATGCTGAAGTCTGACAGTTGTAGACTATACCTGTCATAAAAGAACAGCCTAAATCAGAGTTCCCCAAACTTTTTTGTGTCGTAGACCCCTTGACAGACGTGTTGGGTAGACCTTTACTTACCTGATATTGATTTTCTTGTAAATTTCTAACTGTAGTGAAGTTTAGTATATACACTTACACAATTTTATAAACATATATTTTTACTTCATAGCTACTTTTATAAATAATGTATGTTTTGATATTATAAGATAGTATGATATAAGTAAATACTATCAATTATGTGTTGATTCACTTTGTGCACCTACATGTGGATGTGTGTGTCACCCCCAAATTTTTTTCTCGCTGACGTAGACCCCTTGCAGGTTGTCATAGACCCCTAGGTATCACTGGCCTAAATGAACAGAAAAAAATTGGAAATTTCAGCTCTATTTTAAAGTAAATTTCCAGGCTGTAAATTATGTTAGGTAAGTAGGTGATACTCGTATCACAAATGTATGTAGTCCAATTAAATAGTATTTCAAATTTACGTAAATTCAATTAAAACTATCCACTGTAAGAATTTTTATACACATTTACAAAAAAACAGTTAATGGTTTGAAACGCGTAATATATTTGTTAATTTATTGTCGTTAAATTGTTGGTAACTATCGACGTATGTAGTTGAATAATATCAATTAAAAACAAATTAACTAACGTACTTTGCGTTTTTAACGGTCAAAATTTTATTATCTATTTACAAAAGAATTACACATATAATACAAACATGTTTGTGAAAAACATTCTTGGGAACAGTTGTATTATAACCTATAATATTATATAGATACATGACATAGAAACGTGACATAATTATACATAATAATAAAATACTATTTAAATTCATTTTTATGTTGTTTTATTATCTGTTAGATCTAACTAAACAAAACACACAACGTTTTAACCGATGTCTTTTAGAAAAATATCTTCTGACGTAATGTTTCACTGGTATCAACATAAAACAAACTGTTTACCGAGACGTAACCAATAAAAGTGTTTCGAGAGCCAAACAATATTTATGTGTTCTATCTCATAAACAATACAACCTATACGACGAACGGCGATAAAGTATTTATTGCACCACAGCCTAAGATTATTTAATAACAAAAATAAAACGACATAATGATGAAATATTTAAAAAAAAGCCTTGGTAAAAGGCGTGCTTATTAAAGTGTGGATTAACTTCTTTGAGCTCCTAGACTATATCAATATGAGGCTTTAAATTAAACTCCAAGCGCTCAGAAGAAAATACTTCTTTCGCGTTTCATTTGCTATCGAACATTTCACGAACAATTGAGACACGAATTGACTTTGACAATACTGAATCAAAATTGTATCGGTAAATTGAAAAAATGGACGAAAACGATATAACCAGTTTAGACACTGAATATAAACGCTATTTGCAAATATTAAAACCATATTTGAGACAACTTTTGGATCAGGACATAGTAGATATTTGTAGTTCATGGATTAAAAAGCTTTCAAATTGTAAAGAAGATGAAAAGGTACTGCGGAACAAATATATATTTACTCTTTGTTATCAACTAGCTAAAGGTACGCTCGAGGAACCTTTTTTAAAAGAGCCTTCAAAGGGATTATTAGATCCTCTTCTAGATGAAGGTAATAGCGATGCCTCATCAACGGAAGTAGAGTGTCTTGTTATTGAAAGGAATAATACAAACACGAAAATCCTTTATGACAATCCTAAAACTCCTCTTACTGCGCAAGACGACGAAGATCAATGTTACAGTGACGGTCGCACTAACTCTACCCACAATATAACAAAACACAGCGAATGTTTCACTGAGAAAATTGCTACAAAGAAGTTCTCATCCAAAGAAGAAAAAGTATTTTGCTGCTCAGACATATGTCATAGTGAAGAAAGTGAAACGGTTAACGATAGTAAATATACATCCAGAGTGACGAATCTAATTAAAAAATTGAGGCAAATAAAAAAACAAAATGTATTACTCAATAGCGAACTTAATGCTTTGAGAGAGGAGGCAAAGACACGTGCTGATGATTCTTTAAATATGCTAAAAGTCAATAATGGCACTAGTACTAATATTTGTATACAAAGTAGCACCGGTAACCTAAATTGTCTCAAAAATAAATTACAAGAGGTTCAAGAGTCTAAAAACTCGCTGATTGAAACTATATCTCAGCTACAAGATACACTTGAATTTTTTCATAGTATGAAAAAACAAGAGGTTCAAGAAATTGAAGCTAAACATAAATTAGAAATTTTAAAATTAAAAGCTTCTATTCGAGAAGATATAACGGCAAAAAAGGAAAAAGAGTTGGAAGAATTAAAACAAAAATACGAGGAAACCATAAACAAACTACAAAATAATAATACAAAAGAAATGGATAACATTAAATTAGTAACGGATAGTAAAATTGCAGAAAAAGATAAACTTATACAATGTAAGGATGTCGAAATAACCCAATTGAAATGCCAAATCGACGAAATTAAGCGTAACCAAATGAATGCAATAAACAAAATACTATTCGAAAAACCAGACATTTCTAAAAGCTCATCGAAAACCGAGGAATTAGAGAAAAGATTAAACAAAATGGAAAGAGCGAGATTTCGAAACGCAAGAGCCTACGAGGCTAAGCTGGCACAGCTCCAGAGACAGAAACATTTAGCTGAATGTTCTTTACAGCTTCAACTGATAAAACAGCGGACGCAAGTTATAAATGAGGTAGTGGATGAAAACCAAGCAGAGCTAACTACTGCGCTAGATAAACTGGAAGGTAAGTATAAAGAAATCGTGGCCTCGGTACAAACGACGGCAGTGCAAAGAAGACTACAAGATCAAATAGCATTGGAAACTATAATTCAAGCGATTTGCGGTACACGCGACAAGTATACAAATTTACAAGCAGGCAAAACTATGCGAACGAACAAGGATGGAAATCAATCGCAAGATTTGGAATTATCGACTTTATTCCACGGGAATAAGGTGGGGAACGTAGTCGCTGGCAAACCGTTCGCAGATGACAGCATGGTTAACGAGTACTGCCTAGATAGTGAGAAACTTGGTGAACTATTTGAGAGGGTACACATTCCACAGAGGGACACTGGCGATAGTTTATCAAAGAAGTAAACTATTCCGATAGATGTTTGTCGCGCTGCCTCAGGAACGGCTACAGAAGTTTGTCCTTTGTTATTAGAACTCTGGTATTTATAATTCGTTTGATTATTATTCATTTTCCGTGTTCTCTTTATTTTGTGAATAAATTCCGGAAGTGTATAGCAATTTATTTTTATTAAGGCGTAAACATAATTAATAACTGCTAATGAGGTAATTTCAACCTTAATGCACATTTCACAATACCTATTAAGTATCGTATTATGACTCATTTAGCGTGTTAACAGCGTGGCTTGTTTTTTTATAATATTACTTTCATAGAGGTTTTGCTCCGACTTCACCTCGTATAACTTTATCGATGAGGTTTTGGGTGGTTTATTAGGCTGTTCTGTCAGAAGAAGTACTTCATTAAATATCCTATGTAGCGTCAGTACATATGTATATACAATATATAGACTATGTTATCCAGTCTAAAATTATTCCAGTTTCCAAAACAGTCGCTATCTCAGGAACAAACGGCTGATTACCATAATAAAACCATTAGGTTAACTAGTGGCGATCATCCTTAATATTTGTAATCTCCGCTAATATCTACATTTGCATAGCATTTACAATTAAATATGGACGGTTCTGAAGAAGGGATTTCTATGGGACCCGGTATCCTATTCTGCTTTGTGTGAATGGACAAACATAATAGCATCGTGTTTAATCTGTGGTTTAATCAAATATCCACAGTAATAGGTATAAAATTTTGGGTAATTTAGTGCAGGACGATTGTTAAGCACAAATCAGAAGAATTATCGATTGATCGGTGATCCTTTGCCTTGCTTTGATTGCATTAAAGAAAACTTTGTTCCGTCACAAAAAAACGTATTGGAAAAAAAAATCATGTTTAGCGCCTATTCTTCGCGTTATCTTATATGCATTGGCGAGAGGGCATTATTTTTTTGGATGTCAAGATAATATACTACATTACATAGAATTAATTGTTGACGCATTTTTTCCTATCTGTCACCAAATAGGAAAACCTTTGTTTCTTCGTCAGAAACGGCGGTTACAAGGAAATGAAATACCTAAGTAACATTTTGATAAATTGTAAGCTCGATATAAATTACGCTTATCCGACAGCGAGATAGTAAATTGTATTTTAATGACCTAATCTAATATCTTTAGTACCTACAGTGCACATAAATTTGATTTTCATCTATTGCTTATCATAGCCTACCTTGTAATTATAAAACTAATTTAGATGGTTAAGGAAGAAAAAGGCTTTTCCGATGTGCATTTTTATAGCATGCTTCTTTACATCGCCTTTAAAAAGTTCATGCGACCGAAATTTCATCCTCTTTAAGTTTGAAATTAGAATAGAAATAATTATTTAATTATTGTTGTGTTTTACGTTTTAATCTGAATTCTGTTTCTCATGGGGTATGACTATATAAACTTGTATCAAACGTAAATAAAATTTAATTTACTTTAGATGCGAAATAGAAAGTGCTTACAAAAATAAATTATAGAATACCATTTTGCTATTAATCGTATTTTGCGATGCGAGTGTCTAATGTAGCTTCATTACAAGAATTAGTCTCTGCCTAAACAAACAATTCTTAAATAAATAAAGCCTTTTTATTTGCGCCGTTTGAGCAAGTTAAACCAAAAAATTAAATTATTATAGTGTAAGACATAATCTATTATATTTACTAGGCTATTTTATTACATTTACAGCATATATTAAGTCTGATTTTAGAGATGTAGAGTTCGATTCGACCCCAAAACTTTTTGCTATTTAAAGGCTACGATAGCTACTGAAGAATCATTGCTTTTTTTTAAATTATGCCTCGTTAGGTCAAAATTCACGCCTAGTTGTACAGCGATTGCTACGAGTACAGCATATTTATAACAATATAGATTATATGTTATCATATGTAACAGTGTCGGCAAAACATATCTCTAGGCATAGAGTAATATTTCAAATTCTGTCGGCACGTTAAGACCTGAGATTAGTTACACATATGGCTTATACGTAATGCCGGCGCAGGTGTTGTTTACCAACTATGCTTAAAACTTACTACAATTTGACATTTGACTTTACAATTCGAAACTTGACTTTACAATTCGAAATTTGATTTTCCAATCGGAAAGAAAAGGATCACAGAATAGGAGTTTTTAAATTACTCTTTATAGCGAAGTTTCAGAGATACCTACAGCATTACAGGATTACCTTACAACGACCAAATTATTATTTTGCTCTACGGTATGAAATAATGTTATGCAAAGTTAATGTCGTTCATTTTATTATTTTAACACAGAAATTCTTTTGTTATATCTCACCTTTTAGCTTACTATTCTTATTGTTTGCAGCTGATAAACAGTTGGGTGTAGTTGTAGTATCTTATGTAGTTTTGAGTAGTACACATTTGAATAAAACACATTTAAAGGTTTAAAATGCGAAATATATTAGTTATTGTACATAAAATTTTCCTACACGTGATGTAGTTAAAGTAAACCGTAAATAAGTTAACCCACATATTTCGCGTTTTAAATCTTTAAAAATGTATTTTATTTGTCATTAAAGATTGGCAAAATAAAATTCGAGCAACAAGTATACTTATTTATTTTTTATTTTATTTAAAAACAATTTTTTGTTATATTTAAAGATATTATCCACGCCTACATTTATACACAGTAGCATTTTAAAGAATCGTTCAAGTGTAGCAGCTAATATTATCTTAAATCCACTACAAGATTTAATTAAGAGTAATCTAAGTTGTCTAGACGTCTAGTGGGTAAGTCCGTGGCTCGACTCTAAATAAGCGATGGACGAGCATAACTCTCTTTTGCACTATCGGCTAAACCCGAACAATGCTCCCTATAACTTGTAGTGAAGCGCGGCAGTCAAAAGAGAATTAATAATAATATATTAACGTGTATTGCACGGTACCCCACTTACGTATTTTCTATCTAATCTAACAAATATAATTGTTAATAATATTTACTTACCATAAAAACTGTTATTGCGAGTTATCTTAAAAGATTTATTTTTAGATCTTAAAAGATAAGAAGACGTTTTTTTATCATTTAAAGAAGAATCATTCTTTTTTAATAATTATTCGTTTCCTGAATACGTTTTACGGCGCACTCAACGAAAGCCTGAATGATTTTCCTGTATTTTCTATACTATTGGTCACACCGTAAAGTTATATCAAATAAAAAACCTAAAGCCTTCCTTTACAAATAGATGAAAGCTTTTTTTTTAAATTTCAACCAGTACCTGATATAAGTTTTGCTATAATGAATATATGTAGTAATCTATGATGTAATAAATGTGCGTTAGTTAGATAAAAATATTCGTATCCATTTCATTTTATATTACATAACGCGTTTAACAATAAAAGAAGCTGGGGAAGTTTTATATTAAGTTATAAGACCAATATTTTTATCCTAAAGAGCGTCAACTTAGAATGCCAAGGTCCAACCTATTACAATGTACCTGTCCATTTCTGTTGGCCGTCACTCGCCCCACATCGCCATTACTGGATGAACGCAGTGTAAGAACTATCGGATGCGACAATGTTATAAGCAAACAAACTACTTTAGAAACTTTAACTTGATGGGAGATGTGTACCAGCCTATAATTTTAGAGGATGCACTGTCGACAAAATGAAATTACATTGGTAAAATCGCGAGATTCAGGCTGGCCTGGATTGTAAGCCTGCATCAACACATTATATAGAATATTTATTCTTCACCAGCCTGTGTCTATCATTAGAGGTATCATCACCCATGCTTTGAAGGGAAATTCGAGCTGATCCCGGTTTTCATCAGGTAATTAATTGCAGCACACTGGAACAGCCGTGTGGGTCAAACTCTTTTTTGAGAGAGAAGGCCTCTACCACGAAGAATCGTATTACTAGGTTGTAACGAAGCTCATAATTTTGTCATTATATGCCATATCCATATAAGGGATCTCATGATATAAGTGTCCCTTCCGCGACATTTGAAGATCTAAATTGAAGCTTTTCTCTGTTGCCTTGATATAGTCTTCAAGGTATGAACAGTGTGTTAAAGGTTAACTTATTTTCTCAAGGGCTTAGCTAAAAATAGTCTATCTGTCACCTAAATATCGCCATTTCAACTTAAACTATATATATAGGTACATTTAAAAAAAACAATATACCTACATACTATCTATAGTTTACGCGAGTAATACACATTTAAATAAAACAATGTAACGGTTTAAAACGCGATATATTAGTTAAACTTATTTGAAAATTATTTTTAACTTCGGCCCGACGTTTCGGATGCTTTGCAGCAGCCGTGGTCACGGGGAGACTAAAGATGGAGGATGTCTCTGACGTCAAAGTAAAAGCTAGCGAAGCTATTTTTTACTTTGACGTCAGAGACATCCATTGAAACGTCGGGCCGAAGTTAAAAATCATTTTCAAATAAGTTTAACTAATATATCGCGTTTTAAACCGTTAAGTGTTTTATTTAAAAACAATACTTATATACGTTTTTCATTGTTCTCGTCTTAGTCTTCCATTTTGACAATAAAAATTGAACTCATGACCCGTCACTCAAAAACTGCATTGTTCCACTAAATTTGAACTTGTTTCTTCAATCACTTCTATAATCACTTAACTATTGAGGCTTGAAGGAAAAAGAAATATGATTAAAGTAAAATTTCGAGAAATTAACACGGACATGTTTTCCTTATCGCTTCTGAGAAGAGCTTTCTCTATATTAAAATTACACTTTTACCGTCTCTATAGCTACTGAGCTACCACTGGGTACTACAGTACTTAGTTACTATGTTTTTTTGATTAGTTCTTATTATATATATTGTGAAATTCAATTAGCAAACTAGATTACCATTACGGAAACCTTCACTACTTTCCTTTACTCTACATAACCGGTAACACTTCACTCTCCCCCACTATAATCGTGTGTACACAGGACGAAGAAACTTCTCGAACCTAATCACCATTTTTAAACAATCAAAATAAAACTCTACTACTGTTAGAATTCGGTTAAAAATCGCTTAAAATTAGTTGGTGCATGCAATGATTTTGCTAGGGGATTGTTCTAGAATAACGTTGTAAGTGCTTGATTGTTTCTCAGTAATTTAGCTGTTATTTGGATAATGATAGGGAGCATATTGCCGTGTGAAAATTTTATGTAACCCCAAAGAAATGACCGTAGCGTCAGCATTTGTTTACAAATATTTTCGCGTGTTTTTCTTGTTACACGTGAAATTACTTAAGACAAAAGCTATTCAACCAACTTTTAAAGAAAGCTTTTTAAAAGTTATTATTTACAGACGTAATGCATCGTGGATCTGACTCTTGCTAATGTAATAGTTATATGAAATCTAAATCATATCTCTACTACCAACTTTATTTTCTTAAATCCCTACGCAATTACCGATCCTTTAGTTACTCCTTAAGATAATTTTGTACCCTGTAAAACCTTGTAACCTGTAAAATTGAGTAACAATTTTATTTTATTAAAAATGTACTTGAATATTATGTTAATATTAAACTTTATTACATGAATTCTTACTTACTGCAAGACCAATTTAGTTAAGGTTTGCTCATACCAAACTTACATTTCATGACCATGAATATTTAAGAATTAACGAATAAAAAACAAATATATGAAACTAATATAATTATTTAAATTATAATTGCGAATTAATATATGTGCATAAATATAAAATATTTCGCATTACAATAATTACGATAGTAACTAAGTGAAAATGTTAAAAAAATCAATTAACCTTATTGATATACATATATATTTTGATTAATATTTTAACATGATTAAAAATTCAGGATTGATAGTTTAGTGGGGCATTCAGAAAGTTTAATATGGCCTTAATAAAACTTCAACCGTCGCAAATGTAAAGAATAAATTAAAAAGTAACCGAATCGAATTTTCTTTGACTGAATGCACTTGTATTTAAGCGTAAAGGTAATTTTCAAAGCAATGGTACGTTATTCAGGTAAAATGAAATACATTTTCGTGATAAAATTTCAAATTACTAAGCATATAAGTTTCTTAATTGGTTTAACACATATGTACCCAGTTAATAACGTTAGTCTTTTACCAACTACGTGATATTTGTTTTATTAAAACAAAAACAAAATTATATTCATTTCAAAGTCGTACCAAAACGTTATAGTTTAAATCTACCAGTGAGCCACTATGCATTTCTGCTAACGGTACACACACAGGTACAAATACACGTGTGTGCGTAACGTCCACCCTCGATGCATGAGTTCACAATCTGAGGTTCAAAAATTTTTCTCTTTGTTACACAAGAAATTAACCCTTAACTTTGATTAGTTCCTTAGCAAGCGAAACGTTAGGAATATCTCATTAGTGAGTTACTTAACTAAAGAAACCAATGATGTATTAGTTAGTATAATAAATGACGAGATAAAAGTAAAAAACTAAGCGATGCTTAACAAATAAACAACCTAAACCCACATTTCACAATGAGTCACCCGAGTCAACGACCAGTCATCACTTTCACGCAACTGTTTACGGCGCCTGGCGCTGCACTTAGCTCATTCGACGTAACATTCTAGAACAGGGGGCCCGAGTCTATATAAACCCGGCGTTGTACGCTCACCGGCAGATAACACTAGTGAGCACAATGTACAAACGGGCGCTCTTTTTTGCAGCGATTCTCGCAGTCAGCCACTGCGAAGAGAAGCCATATAAAACCCACCATTATGTCGATCCATTCGCTCTACTGGATCGGCACCTGTCACACAGCCTCACCTACCTCTGGCCCTGGAGTCACCTAATCAGAGCAGCAGCGGCCCTCGAACTAGAAGATACGCTAGAAGACCCACAGATAATCTCAGACTCCGAACAGTATTTGGTCAGATTAAGCGTGCGTAACTACAAACCAGATGAGCTGAAAATTAAGGTAAAGAATCGGTATATGATTGTAGAAGGAAAGCACAAAGTGAAGAACGAAGATGACAAGAGATACATAGCGAACCACTTCATGCAGAGGTTTATTCTACCTCCTGGCACTAAACAAGAAGAATTAAAAGCTGTGCTAAACGAAAAAGGTGTTCTCTCTATTTCCGCTCCTAAACACGAATTACCACCACCACCTCCAGAGCGAGAGGTCCCAATCGAAGTTATTAAGAGTGAGGTACAAACCACAGATAAAGAAGAAAAAGACACTTCATCATCACCTTCGCCGACACCTCTAGAACTCGAAGTGGAAGCGACAACACACATTGGCAAAATTAGAAAGAAGGAACTAAAGACAACAACAAAGACGGCAAAGGACAACGAAGTGACAAAAGGTGGTGACGGAAACGGAATAGACTACGCGTTGATTGAGGCAGACGAGTGACGTTTAAGTGATGATCCAAAGACTGGTGAAGAGCTTTAAGTGATGGAAATAAAAGTTATTTATTATGTGTTGTTTCCCTATAACACTTCCGCGGCAATCCTTTTAGGAAAATAATTTATGGGCCTATATTTTCCGATATTTCACTCGTTGAATATGATAAATTACATATTTCGTTGATGAATTACGTGAAAAACGATGGTATACTGGTATACCTTCTCGCAACTTTTGCTATCATTCTCAATAAATAAAAAAGTTTTGGTGAGTGTCGTTAACTATAAATTAAAAAATTAACTGTTAAAATAAGATCTGAAGAGGTAAGTTCGATAATTTTTAAGATTTATATTAAATTCTAGATTCTTTTAGTTTTTCGGTGTTATCGTAAACAGTATTTTTTTGAAGCAAACATAATTAAATCTTCAACGAATTCTGTTCTGTAGTTTTTGTTACAATTATAAATTTATCCATCGCCATACATCCATATATTCGAGTTTCTTAAAACAGAATTGATTCAACGGACGCCAATAATTATTAATTCGAACACTTTTTTCATTTGCAAACTGTATTACACTAAATACATAACATTGACTATTGTTAAGATGTTTTAAGCCCCCATATTTCTTTTTATAACTATATCTAACTTGTGCTGAATTGTAGCTAGGAAAAAAAATATTATATATTATAATCATAATATAATTGCATACAACTTGTGCCTTTACTTAACATTACGAACTATTTTCCTCGAAGAAAACACAATATTCTTTTACTGGTTAAAGTATAACAAAAATTCGGTTTTTGTATAATAATAACTATTATTACGGAAATGCGTTAGCCATACCTTAATATTTTTCTTTAAACCAACACGATTGTAAGCTTAAGAGATTTCGCCGCAAAATTATATTTACAAATACACAAAGTTTAATTAATCTTGAACAAGCGAGCCTTAATCAAAGGGCCCAAAATAACTTGAAATGTTTTAAAATTGGGCCATTAATTTCGTTTGCTAAGAGGATTATTCAAACGGTTTTCAATGACAAACTTTTCAAGCTACGATGTAAAAAATGTTAGGGAGGAACAAAAGTTTTTAAATAACATCGATAGAAGACCTTTGAGATCTGATAACGGAATACTGTCAATAGTTTACGCGAGTAGTACACATTTAAATAAAACACTTTAACGGTTTAAAACGCGATATATATAACTTATTTGAAAATGATTTTTAACTTCGGCCCGACGTTTCGGATGCTTTGCAGCAGCTGTGGTCACGGGGAGACAATTAATTTTTTCAATTTATTTTCGATTTTTAAATTATATAGTGCCTTCATGTGCAAGAACATGTGAAAAATATTAATGTTTTCAAACCTCACTACGTATCACCAATGGGGGAGGGGGGGTTTAAAAATTCAAAAAAGGTCACGTGATTAATGGACAAACCCTTATGAGAAAATTAGTCTAAATATCGCAATCATTACAAAAAAACATATCATGAAACTTAGTATCAGAAATACTGTTTCAATTCAAATTAGTATTCATATACATGTTTACAATCAGAAATAGACGAACTAATACTCGCCCACGCTGTAGATACGAATCACAACAAAGGATTACGGTATCCACGTTCTGTGGCTTTATGTAACGTGGTTTCGTTACAAAACTAACTGGTTATACGACCTCCGAGAAGTTAAACTTTCACGTAGGTACTACTCCGTTACTCGCTTTTACTTTGTAATGAAAGGGACATCCCCGGATAAAATCGTTACTGAAATTCGAACAAAATTTCAATTTAATTGCGCTTTATTCGATCATTTTTTATGATAGAGGAGAACATATAAGTGGGGGGTAAAATTCATGGAAGGAACCCCAGCCATATAAACATCTTAACAAAATACGATGTCAACCTTTTTTGGCTTTGGATATCCGAAATCCACAGACTGAAGCGAAACACAATTAAAATTCACTACATGCCACTAACCAAACCGAATTTCATAAATGGCGTAACTTAAGCATTGTATTTTTTGTTATCAAACAGATGGTAGCCGTGAAAATCATAAAGTTAATCACTAATAGACCTTATTACCTCACTATAAAACAGTTTATGACACCTCCTATCACGGTTTTATTTTTTAGGGCTTTTACACACGAACCAAAAGTGATGGAGTAGTTGTGAGTACACTTGGCTTTGTCGACTGTTAAATTGACGAGGCGTGAACTAGAAATATTTATTTACATTTTATATATATTTAGTTACTTGTTCATAAGATTAATTTTATTATGTTGATACACTTTAACAAGTAATTTATTTAGTAATTTTGACCAAATTTGATTACCACAAAAACGCAAGTCTATCTTTTGCGTCTTTGTGGTAATAAAATTTTGTTGATAATTCGCAAGCTTAGTATTAGAGTGACCTAACTCAAAATTTAAGTAAAGTTAGATAAATGCACTGACATTACTGTAATAACGCCATCATCATAGTTTTATACGATTTGCAAAAAAAGTGTTTTTTTTTTTTAATTCGGTCACCGTAATACTAAGCGTGCGTAGGTTACTTGAACAGTTTTCTCAGCGCACAAAAACGTTATTTCATATTTTCCAGTTTTCTCTGCTCCTATTGGTTTGAAAATCCTTAGAACATCTTCAGTAAATAATCTATCTAACTATGTATACATATGCTTTCGATTTAAATTAATAGATACTGAGAGTGACGCGTTGAAAGAAACAAACTTTACCGCTTTATAACATTACTACAGATTTTACCGTCATGAGAAAATCAGTTTCAAATGCCTTTCTGTAAACACCCTAACTAAATATATTAGCTGGTAACTCGTAAACCTTACAAAATAACAGATGCTCTATACTGCCAGATGATGGTACTGTAAGCCTGGTTACCAAAATCATAAAGGATTCTAAATTATGTTCAATAATTTTGCCTTCTTATATCATTAGCTTTTAGAATTATTTTTATCTCGTATTAATAATAATTATTTAGAATCTCGTGTGGGTCTGTCCTTTTCTATCTATCTATGCTAAGATATAAAGCTGAAGAGTTTGTTTGTTCGTTTGGACGCGCTAATCTCAGGAATAACGGGTTTGAATTGAAAAATTATTTTTGTGTTGGTTAGAACATTTATCAAGGAAGGCTATAAAACATCACCTACAACACAACCTGTGACTAATACAAGTGTCAAAAATTGGTAAATTATTCACCAAAAAAACACTTTAAGGTTTAAAAGCATATTTAGTTAAACTTATTTGAAAATGATTTTTAACTTCGGCACGTTTGATGCTTTGCACAGCCTGCATACCACATACCAGCAAACGCGAAGACACCGTTAGTCAATTCTGTAAGGACCCGGCCAGTTTCGCCAAATACCAACTTCGACGGAACAGTGGCGCTAGCTACAATTCTTTACTTTGACGTCTGAGACATCCTCCATCTTTAGTCTCCCCGTGACCACGGCTGCTCAAAGCATCCAAATGTCGGGCCGAAGTTAAAAATCATTTTCAAATAAGTTTAACTAATATATCGCGTTTTAAACCGTTAAAGTGTTTTATTTAAATGTGTACTACTCGCGTAAACTATAGACAGTATTATTCACCATTATAGGTTTTCGGGGCGTACGCTGCAAAAACGGTTCAAGATACCCCAAAAATATCTATTAGAGAATAATTCTTCCTTAAATGTTCTAAAAAACTCAGTGACGCTATATGTCTATCTTTAAAGATTATCTTACAAGAACGACGGGAAAGGACGCGACATATGTCGTGTGTAACAGCTTAAGTTTATAAAGGTGAAGGGGTTTGCAAAACGAATTTGGATGCTAAAAATAACGATTCTCGCGGACGATGTCGCTGACACAGCTAGTAATAAATAAAGACTAAGATTTGACGGTCTTTCTTAAAATAATTATTGCCCAAGCGTCGTTCCCTAAATAACACATAGCTAAACTAACGTAGTTAAAACCTTCAATAGAGAAAAATAAATCGAATGTGTCGTTACAAATGCACTCAACTCAATTAAGCGTGAAAAAATACTTAAGCAACTCCATTCTTTAACTTAGCTTAAATGGAACGAATTTTCCTCTGTCCACGTTTTTTCCACTTCGATTGTTACAATTTAATTTGTTGCCTTACCTTGTGAACGTATTATGTGTTGTAAGTGAATTGGAATATAATATATATCGTTCTTTTGTTATAGAACAAACGTGGCGTTGTCTATAGGGTAAATCTATACTAATATTATAAAGAGGAAAGATTTGTATTTTTGTATGTAACGGGTAAACTCAAAAAGTACTGGACCGATTTTGAATATTTTTTTTTTCATTAGAAACCTACATTATCACTGAGTAACATAGGCTATACTTAGTACTCGATTACTATAGATATCTATAGAAATTCTTACTAAAACCAACGGAAGGCGTAAAAAAATTAGCCGTAAAATGTCTTTCTTCGCATACGCTGCGAGAAGGGCTTTTTTTTTTTTTTTTTTAATATTAAGATATTATCACGAAGTTAAAATAAAAATGCATGCCGGCGGTGGCCGCCACGCCGCGCATTGAGTATCTAATTCGACGATAGATGGGCATTGGGCTCCTTATGCAGTGCGCGCGAACGACATTGAATATTTCGATTTGTTTTTTAAATTTTTTTAATGCTTCACTTAAAAAGTTCTTTTCAAAGCTACTTAGTTTAGTATTAGGAATCACACTTTGCATAATATTTGTCAAAGTTCTTTTCAGAATTATCGCTTTGAACTTGAATATTTTCTTTTGTATTATTATTAGTTTATTCTTAATTTCTCTGATTTAAAATAAATATCCTTCATAGCGATATGCCTAGAAGAAGAAGGTCGCAGCTATCTAAGAATAGTCCCCAAGCCAGATTAGCAAAGTTTGTCGTATTGGAGAGTCATCTTCCTAAAATGATCATCTGGAAAGTATTATAGTGTTCGCGTCTCAATCGCAAGCCAGAGAATCTATCGTCGAATGATCAGGTTCGTTTTTCAGAACAAAATGCAAGCGTCTCGTCTTCACTTCGCGACTTGAAGGAAATAGAGCTAGGAATTCGCGAACGCGTGCACGGGACTCTAACACTGAACGCTCGCAACGCTCCACACACGTGATAGACAAAGGTCGTTCGAACAGCTAGGACGCGAAATACATTTTTTTTTCTAATTTAGTGATTCATGGTCGTTTTAATTAGCATGCTTATAATTTTTATATCTGTACTTATTTAGTTCTACCCGTGCGAAGCCGGGACAGGGCCGCTAGTATTAAAATGTTATTATTTCCTATAAATTTACTAAAAATTTCATAAGAATAATCCCTTTTTACTCCGTCCCCCTTTTACACAATTATCAACATAATTTAAATGTCTTTTACGGCGCTTCCAACACAAGTTGTAATAAATTTTAAGCTTAATACTTTTGTAATTTAATTATTAAGAGAAAAAATTTTATTTATTTATTTTTAAGTATACCATTCGTATATAACTTTGTATATGAACACAAACCATATCATACCTTACGTTTCTATAAGAAGAAAAACGGACAGAAAGGGAAGTATAAGTAGATGTTTTTTACTCTTTGACCTAAAAATAAATAAATACGTACTCCTCAAATCTTGTATATGCGTAAATATGGGACATGGTACAGGAACACCCATATCCCCTTTGGGGCATGTACCGCCTGCGTACCTGGATTTTTTAAACGCGTTGCCCAACATTGCGTTAGACACGTTCTGGGTTCATATAACGGGAAATGTTTAAGTGCTGATAGTGATGGGGTCTATAGAACATCAGTGTTGGGACATGAGTCCCAACATAGCCTAACGGACTAGTTTCCAGAGGCAACTATATCATTGAATAGAATTAAAGAAGGAATAAAATTTGTATTTTCTATTTTATTCTAGGAATTCGAAATAATTGTCCTCACAATTAAGGGAACAGATATATCACAACGAACAAAGCACAGCTATAATAAAATGTGCATTTGTGTTCGGTTTGTTCGGGGCGAAAGTTTTAATTGGAGGACCATTAGTCTAAGCTTCACTAGTCGATAGTGATATATCTATTACTACAAGCAATTAAGTTCGAGATATAATTGATAGAAATTGTGAGAATATTTTTTTCTATCTTTTATTGAAGTTACAGCATATATAATGTTTTGTTATAACACGCTTGGGAGTTACACGTTTGGCAAACTAAGAAAGTTACATGAGTCGTAGGTATCTAATAATAGTTTCCCTAATGTATAATTTGGAATTACAGTTCTAGTGTTACCCTTATTATTATTATTTTCTATCGGGGACACCCTCGGCAGGACGGGTGATCAGTCCACGTTGTCCGCTGACCATTTCACCCATTTCCCCATTTCCTCCTTGCAGAGATTTGGGTCATCCAACTCTTCCCGTTCAAGCCTTCATTTGCTTGCAGAATCTTATTATTTTTCCATCTGTAGTTCTTTAATGTCTTCTACTGTAACTTCGTCCGAGCCCATATGCATTTGTCTTAGCCTCGAGTACGCAGAGCATTCAGTGAGTAGATGGATGCTTGTTTCCTCACTTTCTCTGCACTCCAGACATAGGGGATCGCTACCTAATCCTATCATTGTAAGATGTCTGTTTAGACGGCAATATCCTGTTATGATTTCTACGATGAGTCGGATGTTCGCTCTCGTTAGTCTCATCAGGATTTTGGTCTTCTTTTTGTCTACCCTTATTATCATTATTATTGTAAATCTCCATCTTTAAAGTTGCCTGTAATGAATCGCAATTCGCTTTTTAGCGATAAGGCCTCTCGCTACATTTGTTTTTGTAAATTCTACAAACTTTTCTTTGTGACAATAAAGTATCATTTGTTTGTTTTGAAAGGTATGGGTGAACACACTACAGTACAGAATACAGACGTTCTACTTCGAGCTAGTAATGTAAACACCAACAGAGAAGTAAGTAACCCCACCAATTAATATCACACTGCCCGGTAAGTGGTTAGGTGCAAAACTACCTGGTGATTTCTTGACTCTTGTACTTGTATTTGTAATTTGCCTTTTAGGTATTTAAATAAAAAAAACCTGAACTAAAGGGAACCAAAAGGGAAGGTTTAAGTGCTTTTATTGTAGCGATGTACATCTTTTTTTATTATTTATGTATATATGGCACATCTGATACTAAAATACTAGTTTGAAATAATATGTAATGATACAATTATATCATATTTTTACTAGTACTCGCAATAGAGAGTAACGCTTTCTTTCTAGCATATGAAATTTAATATATTTTTTTAAATAAATTAACTTAACTGTGAGTATAACGTAAATATTGAAATATTGCTAAATACATTTTTGGAATATTGTTTATTTACAAATATTTTACGAAGAACTTAAACACTATCCATTACATGTACATTTAATAAATTACTCAGTTCATTACAAATAAATGTATATTTACAACATCTAGTCTGTCATATTGGCTATTCAAAAATAACAGGTGGATAATTCATGAAATATAAATTCGTACACATTTTAATTTTAAATTAAGAATAGTTTAACGGATGTTTATATACAACTACAATTATAATTAGATATTTAGCTATTGGAAAGTTTTAAATCACATATGTAAACAATAAAAGTTCCTACTAACCCTCTCGCTGGTCTGATATTCACTCACAAGGTTCATTTACTCACAAAATTTCCACTTGGAGTTGTAGATCGTACTCACTCGTGTATTATTGTTCTAAATCTGTACAGAATAGGATCCATCAGCATCATAGACTTGGTTTTGTAAATATTCCTTTCTTCCATAAACAGGCTGTTCATATGGATCAAAGTGTTCATGGGCAAATTCGTGCCCATAATGATCATGAGCAAAAACCGGCTCATACTCGACGTGGTGATGTTTATTTTCCTTTAGATATTTGAGTAGCCAGAGTAGTATATGCCAAGCTTTGTAGACAACAGCGAAAAGTATTCCCCCGTACACGATTTTCAATATGAATAACTTACTCGCTGCAGCATAAAAAAAGGGAACTGAAACAAAAATCTCTGTTATTTTTTCATTAGTGGAAGCCGCTTTACGCTTAAATACTTTACATTTTTACCTTTATTATTTTCATATTATATATTTTTTATTTATTTTTTTTACCCACTCTTTACCCGATACAATGTTTTTGTTAATCATGTTTGTTTATCAATTTATTTTTTCTATAAAACGTTAGAACTTTGGACTAACAAATAAATGGAGGATAAGAATATCGAATTTTCGTCTCTTTATTTTAAACTTGAATATTATTAATTATTATGATTTTAAAATGAATATAGCAGTATTTTATATATATTATTATATAGACCCCTTGTTTTTCTATTTTAAAGCTGTAAAAACGTACAATATCAACTAAATGATTTTTTAAACGAAAGATTCAATTAAAACTTTGAAACTAAGTAAATCTTTTAAAATATAGCCACTTAATTCGTTCGTAGTCTTAAATTTTTAAATAAATTGTTACTTGAGAGGAACTTTTCAAACTTAACACGAACTTAGTGAATAAAGTTACTCAACTTTTACAAGATTACCTTTTTGTAGAGAACTCTGTGTAAGTACGTTGATGTACTAATGTGTACCTTTCTCGTTTAATATTTAATGTGTACTTAAGTAATCACTAATTTTTTTTTTAATATTTTACTTTTATTTTTTGGATAGGTTAGCACAAACATTTTATTTGTATATATTATTTTAAGTGTATATGTTTTACTATAAATATGTTTGTGCAATAAAGATGCTTATAATAATAATAATAATTGTTTTTATTATAGGTATACTAGAAGCACTGACACCAAGAAATTGGTGAATTAAAATATAACGGCTGGAATATTGACCTACCAGAATTCTAATAATGCCGATTGATATTATTTAAAATCACATCAAGAAATAGGCTTGACGGAGGCTGTGTGTTGTGGTAATCAGGGAAACCGGATGTTTTCTCATGTAACCGGTAGTTTGGGACATATCTGTAAATGGCTAGGGTCCATGCCATAACAACCATCGCCTTAATTGCCGCAACGAGGAACGTAATGCCCAGAAATATCTTGTACAATCCCACCTTTGCAGCCAATACAATTGCTAGATTGACTGCAACAGACAATTTAATATCTAAGTATGTCTACTTTTTTTTCCATTTTATAAAGAGTTTTTATATAAGAGTATTTTTTTTTATTTAAATATTAAGGAAACACCGAAACAACGTGAAATCTTAGGGTATTATAAAGGTTTTCGAAAAACGGACTCGTTGGTGTTATGGTAGCAATAAACAGTTTATTATTAATAAATGGGTCTAGGGTTCCCCACCTAGCCCATCATTTTTCTAATTCATTTATAATTTTTCTTTCTTTTGCGCCACGTTTGGTCTAATACACTCATGCTAATCGATAGAGCAACGCCAAAGTACGCTGCGAGACTCACCTGTCATCAATTTTTTTTTTAATTTTTCAAAGAATATTAATAAATATAATACAACTAACTAAAAATATCTATTTTTTAACTAACATTCCCATACATTACTGTATCTTTATGGTCCTGAAAATAACGGAAGGTATAATAAATTGTTTCAATTCAATTTGTTTAATTTTCACTCCATCTCGCATGATGAAGGCACGTTATTTATTCGTTAAAATATGAATAGCGTTATTCAAAATTGAACCGTATCAAGTTTTAAGGTATTGTGTTTATTCATGACTCTTTTCCGTTCAATTTCACATTTCAATATTCTAAAAAACATTGGCATCCGACGCCGTAAACATTGATAATGGTCCCATTTTCGTTGAAATATATCTTTCAGTTTGAAAGAGGTATTCGTTTTTCACTAGTAAAATTGTCCAACAAAGTAGCGCTAAATAAATTCGGTGTTATCTAGGTAATGCATAAACGTAAAGTTTATTTTGTTACTAATTTTATTTAGATAAACGACTTTAACGGTTTAAAACGCGATATATATTAGTTAAACTTATTTGAAGATTATTTAAACTACGGCCTAACGTTTCGGATGCTTTGCAGCAAACCTAGTGACGGGGAGATTCTACGCAGAGCTAACTAATATTTCTCGCGTTTTAAACCGTTAAAGTGTTTTATTTAAATTTTTACTACTCGCGTAAACTACAGACACTACTAGTTTTATGTGTATACATTTGAGAATTAATCTTTCTCGTGTTTTATCGAACGTTGGGAAGCCAGGTAGAAAAAATCCAATTCACAATATTTACGAAAAGAGAGAAAGCGATCTTAACTAAGCTGAACTGACATTTTCAAATACTTTCGTTTTACTAAAGAGCACAATCAAAGTTTCTGAAAACTTCCTTTAAATGAGGAGCCAGTAACAATGTAAAGTTAAGCAGCGCAAAGTGCATGTGATGGTTGGGCCACGGTTTCTCAAAGCATGTAAACTTCTTTTTGAATAGGTGATTTTATGGATGGTTGAAAATTTTATTTTTTTATTGCACATGATGGTATTATGTAAGATAAAATTTATTTAGTTTGAAAAATTACAACACGGGCGCTGACGCCTCTCTCAATTGGTCTTGTTGTTTGGCACGGAAAGTGTGGATGCCGGTTCAATCCCGCCGGTATCGTGAATTTTTTTCAATCTAAATAGATTTTAATTTTTTTGATTAGTATTAATAAAATTGTCACGTATCATCAAATGAATCGGTGTATTTATAAAGTTAATTTTCTATAGCTGTCCAAAATTTTGAAAATTATGCACGCCTTACAATCTCATTACTTTTTCACACTTTTTTTAAATATATAACAAGCAATATAAATTAACAGGTTTTCCCGATAAAAGCGATTTAGCCAGAATGTAATTTGGAGTATTTAAAGTAATAAAAAACATTCCCTTTGTATCTGGACGGTCGTGTAGTGTACTAATGGCAATAAAACTTCAAGAGAGACATTTATTGTGCTGGAAGCGGCTTTGTAGCAAGGAGGAAAGTAGTAATTAAAAAATAGACACAATAATAAAATACCTTAATGACGTTTGTTAAGCTTGAAATGTCTTTATGGGATAGTTATGAAGATTGAGAACCGCTGGACCTAGACCCGACTACTTCACAAAGAGTAAAATTCGCAAAGTAAAGATTAAAACGGCGCTTCGTTGTCTTGTTTTTTATTAGTTTCTAAAATAATTCCACGGGAGTTTTCCGCTGTTATTGAATCGCAGAAAATCTATTCGAATGGCGGAAGGCTTCGATCCGTTTTCCATTAATTAAACGTATTATGTATTGAATTTCTATAACCCGTAATTAATCTAACTGTCCGAAACACTAGATTTAACGATTGTTGATGGTTGTTAATTAATGAAATCTACATTATTTTACTGCTGTGATGTTCTATTGGTATCATTTTCGTAATTACTCGTTTTGCTTCGGTTAAAATTAGGTGTAAAATTTTAGCGTGATACAATTTTAAGCTTCATGCAATATTATTTAACTTTTAACTGTACCTGTAACTGTAGTTTACGCGAGTGATACCATTAAAAAAAACACTTTAACAGTTTAAAACGCGATATTAGTTAAACTTATGAAACGTCGGGCCATAGGTTAATTAATTTTACAAGTAAGATTAACTAATATATATCGCGTTTTAAACCTTCAAAGTGTTTAATTAATATGGTAATCTATTAATGTCAGATACAATCAAACTGCTTCGCTGGTCTATTGCACTCAACTGTAATCTAAATACTGTTTATAGCTTTTAGTTTACTAATATCGCGTTTTAAACAGTTAAGCGATTGGGTTCGCTTAACTGTTTAAAAACTGCTTGTCTGTCATACATCATAAAAAAGTTCTCCGAAAGTAACATTGAAGTGTGAACGTTTATAGCAAATTGTTTGAAATTACAAAAACGTTCGTGTCCGTTAAATTGTTGTTTAAGTTTTGGCATACAAAAATATCCCATGATTACTTTTATTGATTGTATTTAAACACATTCCATTGACTCTACCTTATATTAAATTTGACCTAAACCTGAAAGCCAGTTTTTCCAGTCTATCTAAACTAAAGGCAGATAAAGGCTACATCTACAATGTCCAGTCTCGGTATTCCAATAAACCTCTCCGTCGTTTTATCCAAAATTTAAATGCATTTTACGCTTGCCTATTCCTAAGAATGGTGTTTCCTTTGAAAGCTTTCAATCTTATAAGAATGTGATAAAATGTAATTCAGAGTGGCAGAACAATGAATATCTTTTTTTTGTTAACACCAGCCAGTAACAAAAAGAGGTTACAAACAAAAAAAAAATACCATTATCACTGGGTATAGTCGCCATGTTTTTTTAAACGTCAAAATCTCTATCTACTAATTCTTATCAATAAAATATGTATTTTGTAAACTTAAATAAAATACTTTAAAACGCGAAATATATATTACTTAACTTATTTAAAAAATATTTCACCTATGATCAATTTAGTTTAAGTAAATTGTAAATAAGTTACTTAATATATTTTTCGTTTTAAACCATTAAAATGTTTTATTTAAATATTTTACCTTTTTACATAACAGTGTAACTGAATTTTTAGGGTACTAGGTAAGAGTTATGTGGGAAATATGAAACTTATTTAAATATTTAAAGTAGTAACATTTAAATAAAAACTTTAAGGTTTAAAACGCATATATTAGTTAAACTTATTTGAAAATGATTTTTAACTTCGGCCCGACGTTTCGGATGCTTTGCAGCAGCCGTGGTCACGGGGAGACCCGTATTTTCCCCATATTTTCAAATAAGTTTAACTAATATATCGCGTTTTAAACCGTTAAAGTGTTTTATTTAAATGAAACTTATTTACCCGAAAAACGCTTCTAAGAAAACATTATAAGGATACATAAGCGGTACCCTCTTTACTAGTAATTTATGATTTTCTTCGTTGCTTGTGTCATGGACATTTATTAAGGAAAAGATTCGCATTGTAAATACGTAAGAATGATGAATTCAAAGATTTATATTTGACTGTAACTTCGAAACGAATGTAGTGATTTTGAATTGATTTTGCAAAGACTCCATCGATCGACTTACGGAGAACCTATTTCAGATTTTAAGCTGGCTAACATCATGTGTCGTAAATAAGTAAGAAAGCTTAAAAAACCTACTATAGAACAAACTCTAGCTAGCTGTCTATATTTGACGCGAGCCGTATAATATTAACGGTGTAACACGGCGTACCGACTGCTGTAAATCATTCAAAACGTCATGTAAATACAAGTTAAGTAATATAATTCGTGTTTTCAACAGTTAAACGCAGTTTGATTCTTTAATAATTAGCTTATTTCATAATCTACATAAGATATGTATGACATGACATATGACAGACTTATACCTAGACCCCAATGTAACAAATAAATAAGGACGTCTTACGGTCATAGAGAAAAATGTCCTAGAAGTTAGACTTTTGTACTCGTAAAGAATATTCTAAATAAACACACACAAGAAATCGTTAATTACTTACTCAGCAAAGCATACTTCTTCCCCTTGCCCCTCGCTTCAGTCATCCCTGTCTCCTTAATTTCAGCTCCGTCAGCAAGACATAATGCCAGAACCAGGATAATCATAATCAACCTCATTTTGGCGGTAAAATATTATCTCTGTCAACGCAATTATTCTATTTAACTTTGTCACTGTTTTTAATAACTTTTTTCACTTCCCGTATTTTTCTTTAAGATACAATGATGATAATCTTTTTTTTAAACTTTTAAAGCTAGTTTTTTTTCAGCCAGTCTCAATGACGATTAGATTACGAATGTTCACGTAAAAAGATGCTAAAGTAAGCTAACTCGTGGAGGGTGAGCTATAATTGAGTGCTAATAAGGAAAAAGCAGAAAGCGTTGCATAACACCGACCAAAGGTTTCACCAATTTTCGCCTTGAAAAAATATTTCGAGGTTACGTAAAATGATTGTGTCATAGATCCCTTTACTAGCGTTACACGCTGAAGATATTTTTGTTTGATTAACGACTGAACGGAAACTAGTATTCAGATTGAAAAATAAAACTTAAATACTGTCTATAGTTTACGCGAGTAGTTGCAGCAGCCGAAATGTCGGGCCGAAGTTAAAAATCATTTTCAAATAAGTTTAACTAATATATCGCGTTTTAAACCGTTAAAGTTTTTTATTTAAATTTTATAAGTTTATCCACATCATCTTGTAATGGTTCTAATGTACGGCTATTAATTTTTTTCGGGCCCCCCCCCACCCCTTTCGGGTCTAAAAACTTATATTATCATATATAATTTTTAAAATGGTCTGGCAATCGGGATATTATTAAATGGGTCGTAAAATTCTAAATTCGTCTGAATCACGAATAATGAAAATAAAAAGGTTATCTTGATCGGTGTTTGGAATTTCTAATATCCATAGCCAAACTAAGTAGACAGCACGTCTTTGGCTTCCGCGGAAATTTTTCTTCTTCCATTAACCCTTTGTCTTTTCTTTGCCATGAAAATATAGTGATGAAGAAGATTTTCTCAGGAATAAAAAAATAATAATTGCTGTTATACTGGAAAATATTTTTCTTTCGTATCGTTGATATCCGACTTCTTAGAAATACGGTGCAATAAAACCGAGAATCTAATAAGGCTCTGAGAAGTCCACAATAAAAGAAAACACGATTTATTCTAGTTCCTTCAGACACTAATTGTGAAACTTTGAATTAATTACGAGAAAGAATTTCTTAAAAGCGCCCCGAGCGTTACGGTGTTGACTTTTAGGTTTTCCTTTTTCATTTGCATCTTTGAAATGACTCACGATTTAAAATCTATTTTTAATACAGAAATAATGTGATGAGAGCGGGATTCGACGGCCAACCACAATTATATCAAAGTAGGATTGAAAAAAAACTATCATGCTGTACGAGACACAGTAGCTCTACTGATAGCTTTCTAGGGGTGTTGGTGGGTTCAAACCACAGTTGTGTCATTTTTATCATTTTAAATAATTTTATAATTATTTCACTTTTATTTATATAATAATCTAATAGATGTAATAGTGTGGACTTAGTTTTGATAATGAAATTTTATGAAATTATTTTATGATTCGTAAAATACTTTACTCAATGAAGTCCCGGTGTCAGAGTGGTATACACATACTTACAGGCAAGAAACCAATTTTAAAAATCATATATAAATGAATAATCTCCGCAATAATTGTACGGGTTAAATTTGGAACGTCGCTTTGACACAATCGGCCTTATTACAAAAAAAATGCTTAAACCAGAACTGCGGAGTAGTTCAACTCTTAAACCATGGTCTAAAAGAATCTAAGTTTGTACCATAATTAGTCTTGTACAAACGTTGAACTTCATTTTGTAAATTGGATTTCAAATAAACCAGGGTTTAAAGCAGGTTTAAGAGTTAGTCCTTGTTTTGTAATAAGAGTGAATAGGTTAAACTAATATTAAACCAGGTGTCGCTAGTTGCAATACCGCCTGTAGTATTGATTATTTAATTTTTTCTCCATAAAACAAATAATATGAATACAAAACAACTAGTTAAATTGTGAATTTATTCAGCAACGTCTGTAAGGAAATTCTATACTTCCTTAAAATGTTCGTATAATTCGCCTTCACATATTGTTGGCGAACTACATAACAAAAGAGATATGTCCCCAGTGTGCTCTAAAACATCCGGAATTGCTTTTACCTATGTAATTCACCTTTTGAATGTTATTCAGAAGTGGTTTCCTTTAGACAATAACTTAAATCGTTCAACTGCTTTCGTTCAATGCAGAATACACACATAAAAATAATCAATAATCTACATATTATATTTGTGAAAATTTTACTAAAAGTACTTGTAAATATCCGCCTCTGTAGCCAAATGGTTAAACGTGTTGGTTAGCATTGCGTCAAGCAAGGTCCTTGGTTCGAATCCCAGAGAAACAATAGATTGTTTTTATTATTATTATTGTTACGTTCAGGCAGGGCAAAGAAGTTTGATCAACTACATGCCTGTAAATGAAAAACCGATCAGTAAAACGGACACAGAAATGTGTTCGCCCCATGCCCCAAGGGGGCAAACGGGATTTCACTACAATAGGTTTAGTTTTGTATCATATCAATAAAAAAATTTTAGTCGTAATGTTCGAAAATAAAACTTCCAAGAAACACAGTCGTGCATGAATTAGAAAGCTAAAAAAAGTGTAGATAATATGATGTCTAATTTTCAGTATTACTTCGCGAGCCTTGGGTATGAATTCCTGTGGAACGTGATATAGTGTTATTTCCGTCCGCTCCCTGCACATTTTATTAAAACACTGGTCATCCGAAAAATCATTTATTCTTAGTCAATAGCCAGTCAAAAGAGCTCGTCATATCGCTGCTAGGATATCCTGTCTTCATAATGTCATCTGGTGCTCCGTAGCTATATCCAACTGTGTCATACTGTGGTGCACCGTATATCGGCGCTGGTTTCTCCTTCATATAATGTTGAAGGAATACTCCAGCTACCGTAAATAATTTCTGGAAAAGGGTCATCATCAAGAACACTGAGACGGCCTTGAAGATCGCCACTTTTGATAGCACGAATAAGAGGATCATGCCTGGAAAAATAAAAAACATATAAATAAGGATAAATAAAATACTATTAACTGCTTCAAACGTGACATGTATTAGTGAATGTGTGTATGGCTTTCACATAATTCTTTGAGCAATCGCGGAGCTATCAACATCTCCTGATGATGCCGTCCGCACATGATGGCGAACGTCGTGAACCTCTTCTCGTTCACGTCGAAGATTTTTAACTACGACGCCTCTGCTGCGTTTCGGGTGCTTATTTATACCGAGAGTCACGTTTTGGCTTACGATAAAATGTGTAAAAATAAGGATTGTTAAATTATTTAAAAATCGAAATTAAATTGAAAATCGACTCGGGCAGGACTTTAACCGGAATCGTCAGCGTTCCGTGCTGTTGCTCTTGTTAAATTATGCTAATTAGTTTCTGCCGATGTTTCATTTGTATTATTATTTTTAAAAAAGTTGGTTCTTAGCCCCGTGGATAACTGCGTAGTATTATACAATAGACATACAAGTACATCATTTCGATTTAAAACATACGTAGATGTTGGTCAGTTATTTAATTCATGTAAGCTGAGCTATGGAAGCGGAAGGATATATTAAAATCACTACATTCTTTGTAGAAACATATATATTACCACTATTTCTCTTTACATTTCAATTTGGATTACACATTACACAATACAAAAACCCTAACATGTTTCACCCAGCGTGTCAGAAGAGAAGTGATTTGTTTTATGACATAAAACAATGTCATTTAAATGAAACACTTTAACGGTTTAAAACGCGATATATTACTAAACTTCGGCCCGACGTTTCGGATGCTTTGCAGCAGCCGTGGTCACGGGGAGACCACGTGACGTGATAAGTTTAACTAATATATCGCGTTTTAAACCGTTACAGTGTTTCATTTAAATGTGTACTACTCGCGTAAACTATAGACATTGTCTTTTAATTTTAGAGAACATTCTAAATATCTTTCAAATTCAACTGTTGGCAGCCAATATCAACATATATAAACTAAACAGTAGGGCATTGTTTAGTGTTTAACCTATTTTATCCCAGCGAGGCATATCGCGTTGACAGATAAATTGACATTTTAATAGTGAGCTATAAGAAATTTGAAATGAGTTACATAATTTCCAAGACTAATTGTTCATTTAAAGAGATTCTTATTCTATTCTATTCTTATAACTATTATATAACTTATGCCCGATAAAATTATGCAGGAAAATAAAGCTTTCTTCTTTCCTGTGGCCTGAGAGTATAGAAGAAGAACAGTAAATGTTGTCTTAATGTACTTTCGATGAAGATAAATACATTTAAAACGGCTTGAAAAAATGTCTGATTGATGTTCTCTGTACCGCGAATGGAAATCGACTTTATTCGAAAATCAAATATTACTGAAATGATTTCGAGTAAACCACTCTACGTGGAATAAAATATTTTTCAACTCTTTTGATTAATTTTGGAATGAACGTATCAAATGAAATGTTTTTCAATCCACATTTTTACTTTTAACATTACGTATATATTTGTTGTTGGGACTAGGTTTTTTTTATTAATTGTATTCATTCGAAATTTTACATTTATTTGTAACTGACAAAGTGTCGACAAAAACTCATAGAGTTTTTCCATAACGCCCTCGTATCATTACAGAGATAGTCAACTCTAAGAAGGAATTTATGTTCATATAACATAGCTTATAATTTATTCAAGAAGAGTTTAAGACACACACAATACACCCCGACTCACGTTGTTAACAAATGTTACAAAACACATTGGCTGAGTAAGATTGTTACATATTAATTTATTTATGACATGGCGGGACTTGAACTGGTATCCGATGAGCGTTCCTTGTCAGTTATTGTGCAACTCGAATAGCTTTTATTTCTTAATTTTAACTTAAATACTTAACACTTAATAATTTATAAGAATATGTAAAAAGTTTTAGCTGCATAGTTTTTATGTTGATATTCTAATCTAGGACCTCAAAATTAAACGTTAACTAAGCCAATACATACCGATTAACTTAGCGGGACTCTTTTTCTTCTTAGCTCTAGCATCTTCTACCAATTCTTCCAAACAGTCACAACAAACGGCCACCGTTAAAATAATCAAAACTGCTTTTATCATATTTGCACCTCAATCTTTCCGATAGAAAAGAATAACTCTTTTCCACACAGATCTTCCAGTGACAACCGCCTCAGTATAAATAAGGTATTTTCCTAGCGGGCAGTTGAATTTGTCGCAAAGTTCGAAGGAAAGTTTCATTGTTTTCAGGCTCGAAACAAATGCCTTTTCACTGTGACTAAAGCATTTCTTTGTAAACTATTCACCGTCTTTTGTGCGCACACGTTTCATGCACGCCTATTTAAATTTAACTGTTTTTATATTTTCACTTGCTCAGAAAGAAAGTGTTTTACCTCATTTTACATGATAAAGGAGTAAGTATTACTATTTAGGCCAGACAAAGCTAGAATTAATTGCCAAATATATATTTTGTACTTTTGCTTGACCTCGTGACAATTTTAACAGTTAATAAATATGTATTGATACCTAATGATTTCCGTTGAAAAATAACAAGAGTAAACCTCTATGCCTTATTACCAAAAAGTTTTATATGTGTCTTCTATCAATCTTAAAAACACTTTTACAGTGCAAAGCTAACCTAACCTCGGGCTGTACTTCAAATTGATCGTAATTAAGATAAATACTATATTTCGCTTATTAAAGCGTTAAAAGTGATTTATTTAAAAACATGATTTTAAAACGCTTAACCATCTAAATTAGTTAACTGCAACTGGATGCATTAGTTAAACTTTTCCTGGATTCAAAACCAGCGTTAAAAAGTGTCATACAAATCGATCTCTATGATACTGTAAATTTTTTCTACCGTCATATAAAGCCACACAGTCTTAGAATGAATCCAGGTCTCTTTTTATAATCAACTTTAAGCATGGTTTAAAATATACCAGCTAAACGAGATCTAAATGAGCTCTAGCTTGGTAAAAGTAAATTATAGAACTTGCAAGGGCTCAGATGCGCATAGTAAAAGGCAATTGCGCTGATTGGATAAAAACTGCTCAACTACTTAATGATGCTGGCTGGCAATAAATGCATTTTAGAACGATACATATATTTAAAAAAATGTGTTAAGGTTTAAATTATATTGCGCTAAAAATGTATCAATTGGTTTGAAGAAAATCGACGGTGACTTGGACAGTGTAGCTCAATTGGTTTGAGGAACAGCACGAACGCTGTGGATGCCTGTTTAAGTCTCGCCGGTGTCGTATTTTTTTTTCAACCTACATAGATTTTAATAGAAAATTACGAGTAACGTAAGTTACGTAAAAGTATTATTATTACCAGTTACATATTTAAAAAAAAGGATAAGTTACATCGTACATTGCCGCGATAGAATTAGTTATTACAAACCTTTTCTTCCAATGTCAAATACCGAAATAACGTTAACTATAACCTGTTGTCTTACAGGTAACGGGTAATAAACTTACGAGTTTTTAGTAATACAGTATCTATACTAATATTATAAAGATGATGTGTTTTTGTTTGTAGGAACGCACTAATCTCAGGAAGTACCTGGTTCGAATTAAAAAACAAAATTATCGTCTTGGATAAACCATGTATTGAAGAAGGGTTTAGGCTTTACAAGATCATACTGAGACTAATAGGAGCAAAGAAAAAGAGGGAATTGTGGAAAAACGGGGAAAATTATTTATCTTTTAGGGCTTCAGTTGCGAAACGGTTTAATAAACCAAGAAAATGTAAGAATGACTTCTCTTTGAAAAATTCATGATAAACGGGTCGCCGGTGTCGTTGGGGGTAACACCTTTAATTTGTAACAATAAGGAGACGGTTTGCAAAAATAAATAATATCATGCCTTAATTACCTATTCCACGCGGACAAAGACGCGGGAACAGCTAGTGACCTATATAATCTTAAAACTAATCAATTGTGATAAATAACATGTTCTAGTAGTATCTAAAGCGTGCCGAAGTATTTGAATACATCGGTACGCTTTAGATACTACTTACTTATATACGAGTGAAGTTAAATTTTCCATCGCGTACAGCCACAATAGAATGTAATCCGGAACATTCAAATTAAGGTTTTCATTGGTGGTTTTTCACGTTTTCCACGTCCAATTCGTGATAACGAGTATCGACGCCGCTGTGAACTCGCAACTACGAAACGTGAAAGCAATCATCATTAAATTCTGTACGGCAGATTTACAGAATACAGAACAGACCAGTAGGAAGCTCCGATCACAGCGTAATGCGCAAAATAACAAAAACAAACGAGTTAATAAATCGCCTTTGAGTTCCTTGGTAATTATTACAATCTATACTAACAAAGCTGTGAATCTATACTAACAAAGTTAAGAATGACTACTTCAAATTGTAAAAAATAAATTTACTGGTCGGACCATTTATCGAGAAAGGCTTTAAAACACCAGGCCGTGGCCATTAACAGAAGAAACAGAGAGCAATGTGAAAACAACGGGGAAAAATATTAATCTTTAGACTTTCGTTACCTGTGCTGCGAAAACAATATGAAGGTATGAAATAATGTTAAAAAAATCTATGACAGTATACGTCTAGCTCTTATGAATTACTCGCAAGAACGATAGAACGCGGAACACGTCGTTACTAACAGTTATACTTTTTAAAGGTAGTTAGTAAAAATAAAATATATGAAGTAGTAATGAAGAACAGACTGACCCATCCCTTATCGAACTACTCCAATTTGGAGTAGTAGTATTGAGCTCAGTCGCGAACGCATCCTCGTTTTCTCCCTTTTTTTAAATCAGCAAATAGATTATGTGAAGCAGGTGTGGTTTGTGGAATTTCCTTGTTATTTTTTTTTTCTTTATTTCAACCTTACAGTCCTTATAACCTTAACTTCTTTATAGTCGATTCTCAACTTTATCAGAGGCGTGAGACGGGCTCCTTACTTCAATGTTAGCAATGTGTAACTAATAATTAACGGGCCGCGGGTTTTAACCTCATTGACATGAAATATTATAATAATACGACATAGCACAGATTTTTTTGAAAAAGAAAAATAAAATAAAAATACAAATAGAAATAAATAAAAACATTTTTTTTTGAATTGCAAAATCTATTAATCTCGCTATTTAATTTTTTTATGTATATCTTCGTAGTTCGTATAGTAATAAATAAAGAAAAATCGTTTAATCTTTGGCCAACATTGTTTTATGAGAGGCTAAAACGGTTTACAATCGCGTCATTCGTTCGCGGATTTACTGCAATACGTTAACCCGAGTCACCCTCAAAAACCAAGGCCCGAAACAGACTTTTATTTGTGGCCTTTTAATGCCTTATAGCTATTTTACTGTCTGTCTTTACAAACTCTGCGTATAACTTACGGAGGCATTAAACCAAATGGGTTAAGGGATTTGAGGTTTTAATGACATTTTGGAATTATAATCTATACTAATATATAAAGCTGAAGAATTTGTTTGGAATGTTTCTGTTGTATGGAACGTGCTAATTTTAAAATACTGCGGGTCGGAATTAAAAAAAATATTTTTGTGTTGGTTAGAACATTTATCGAGGAAGGCTAACGCACATTGCAATATGACTAATAGGAGTGAAAAAAAAATGGAGAAAAGGGAAAAATTATCCATGCAGGGAAGTATCTTTGTGGGTTTTTGTTGCGTGCGCTGCGAAAACAGTTCGAGATACCCAAAATATATGTATTAAAGAATGATTCCTTATTAAATGCTCTGAAAATTATTTGTGAACTATATGTCTATCTTTTACGATTAACTGGCAACAATGACAGGACACAAACAACATCGTGGGCAATAACTTAATGATGTTCAAAATGACTATTCTACAATAATGAAGTTGCTGTGACACAGCTAGTGAAGAATAAAGTTAGATAGCCGGTTCGATTTCTAGTGGATACCAGGTAATAACTGGCTGGTAATAACTAAGAATGAATGGTATACCCACTCCCAGGCAATATAAGGTCATTAGACAGTTATAAGAATTTTAGTGTGCATTAGGGCACCTGCTTCCGACGCTCATAAAACCAACATCTTTATGATGCTATAAAACACTTCTACTATTTTTATATTTCATTACCTAACACTTTCTCGGGAAACCTTTGTGAGACCTGAATATCACGTGTTAATTAATCTTATATTCAAATTAAAATCACGTAAAAAGTATAAGATAAGATTCATTGCTTACTGTGCAAAATGTATTTTCAATTATCATTTTAATCAATAAAATTTAATAGATATAGACAGCAGCGTAGTTATCGTAGGGCCAGGTGGTGCAATGCACCAGGGCCCTGGAACTTGGGGGCCCTCTGACCTCATTTTTGGAAAGATATAAGCGTGAAAGAAAGGATTCTTTTAACGGATTTGAATATTGGTCGCTAGGCTGAAAGTGGCTTTCTTAGGCCCTAGGATTAAGTAGATCGGGGCCCTTGTCAACCTAGAAACGCTACTGGATACATGTTGACACACCTGATGGCACTATTTAAATTAAAAATCGATTATACACTGCAAAAAATCACGACTCGATTTAGATGTAGAATAATTAAAGTTACTAATTAGTTAGCAATACATACAGATATAATTTATTAATATTTGATTTGTCATAACAATATTTATCTAACAGAGTTTTGTGCCATATAGACAACAATACAATCAAAAATATTTTATTCGTCTGGAATCAAATAGTACAAATAGCCTTGTAAGCGAATCAAATATTTATGAAATTAGGAATATAGTATATAATATTTTTCAGACCATAATGCCGTCTAACATCATAGAAACATTGGAATCAAAGTAAAACATTTTTGTAGTATAAGTAATTTTTTTGAGGTTTTAGCACATGAAGGCATTATACAACTTAACAATCGATTTGCTATTTAAAAAAATTAGAATGAATTTGAAAAACACTGCATGGGTGAAGTCCTGCCAATGTCGTAATTTTTTTTGAATCTATTATCGCTTTTATTTAAGTCTTAATTCTTATTAAAGACATTTTGTTAATCATATATCCTCAATATAAAAGAGCTTTGTTTATAAAACAAAATAAAACCAAAAATTGTTCTTACAGCATTCTTTATTATTTACAAATAAATAAATTATTAACTTAATAGTTAGTAGTGTATGAAGTTAACACAACTTCACATTTAAATAATACTCTTTTAACGGTTTGAAACACGAAATATATTAAAAAGTTAAATGTTTTTTATTTATTTTTAACAATGGCCCTTTGAAATCAAAAGACTTTGAAGTAATCGATTATTTTTAAATTCGGATTAATTTTTACTAATAACATTTTAATTTTTTCTAATGAATACCATGACTTTTTCTTTTATAAGGTCCATAACTAGACTCGAATTGTGGCCCATAGCTGTGCTCAAAGTGAGGTGTGTATTCATGATGATGGTGTTGTTCCTTCAGATAGCTCACGAACCAGGAAAGGAAGTAGCCAGCTTTGTGAATGATAATCCAGAAAATAAACGCGTACACCAACTTTAAGATAAACACTTTCTTTAGCACGATATCTGCTAGGAATACTGAAATGGAAAAGTGCGTTAAATTACACCTGCTGTTACTCTAATGCCGTAACGCGTTATGTAACTAAGCGGTTATTACTTTCAAAACTTCGGTTAGGAAGAAGTTAATATTTCAAAATGAAGGAAAAATAGATTCACGCTCTTTAAACATGAAACTATAACTAACACACAACACACTTTTATTTTGTTGTCAGACATATTGTAAAGATAACAATTTTCATAACGTATGTGATTATATTTTTTATATATTGTGATAAATATTTGATAAGTGAAATCTCTTACCAAATAGTGCGAGTTTTTTCTTCTTTCCCCTCGATTCGACAGCACCATCTGACGCAGCACAGATAACAATATACAAAGATAACAAAAACAAACTTTTAAAATGCATTTTATTACAAATATCGTACGCTACGATATGTTTATATGATTCCCACTGTATTTTATCGTTTATTGTTTTATAGTATGTTTTTAACAAGACTTGTGGACATAGAATGAAGGTTGAAATACATGTTCGTTCAGTGTGATCCTATGAAGTGATAATTGGTGAAAACTCGCACTTTCAGTGCAAACTTTGTTATAAAACTTGTCACTTACGTAATATGATTTGTGTTTACACGGATTCAAAAAAGGAAGCTGAAAATGTATGTTAATTATATAGAAACTGGTTTTAGATATTCGGAAATTCACAGACTGAAACTGAAAAGGAGCTTCACGGATTTTTTATCTGTGGACAGTTGTTTGTGACCCGGACAGAATTTCTATATTCCTACCACCCATTGAATCTCTAGATTACCAGACTAAGTTAGAAAAATTGTAAATTGAAAAATTAGAGACATCGTGGATCGAACCCAGGACCCGGTGATTATTAGACATTGCTACCATTAGACCAACGAGCCCGTCGAAATCAATAGAAAAACCAACTGTTAAACTGTGAAGTTTGTAAGATTTGTTTATTAATAAAAATATAGATTTTTTTTTTAAGTCATTCTTCACTCGTCGTTTTTTTTTTTACAGCTTGATCAGACATTTCTGTGCCCCGTCCGACCGAAACAATTGATTTATCAACTTTTTTCGTGATTAGTTAATATGGTTACGTAATTAACTAAGGGTATTATAAGTACGTTGTATTACATTTCTAAGAATTTAATACGTTTATTTAAAACTAAGTTAAACAAAAATAAGTTGAAAAAATTTTCGACTCGGGCAGGACTTAAACCGGCATCGTCAGGGTTCCTTGCTGTTGTTCTACCAATTGAACTACCGAGTCCTACACCTCATCGTCGAATTTTTTCAATTTATTGATACAAGCACCTCTCGAGCAATGTAATTTCAGCGTTAACACTTGCTTATTAAGGTTCAATATCTCATGCTTTGCAGCTTACGAAAATCATTGAAGATGAAATTACAAATTTACAACGTTTGAATTTAGTTTTTTATTATTTACGATTTTTAAATTATATATTGCCATCATGTACAAATGACGTGTGAATTATTTCTCAAGCTTTAATTCTATTGTACTATCAAATGTAAATGCATCAGTTTTCGAAAAATTATTTATTGTTATACATAATATATTTAGATATGTATTACACATCGTTATTGTGTAATGTATGTTGTGAACATCTAATATGAATGAGATGAAAAAGGCTACGCAATGTTTATTTTGAACGAAGTGCTCTGTAACAACTCCGAAGGAAACGGAAGAGCTAGAGAACTGAGCGAAAAATACGAAAACGTTTTTCGTGTTGCAGTATTGCAAAAAATAACATTGTTTTGAGGTTTTATTAATACATAATTCAGTGGTCCAAGAATACTACGACCAGTAGATCCTGTGGTAAAACTAGCTTTGCATTTGATGTCACTGATCCAAATTCGAAGCCCAGAGGAAAAGATATGCTCTATACATTCAATTATTCTTGTGGAGTTGGTGTGCTAAGCGTTATTTTAACATGTACAACAAATAAAACTCTATAGTATCGTCTTTTATAATTGTTTCAGCTTTTTTACTAATAAGTACCAATTCATAACAAACAGTCTGTTTATATATCGTCAAATCATTCGTACATGTCTTCAGTTTTAAGATTATGCTACCATTGTACAGTCAATATACTGTAGCCAAGATCTTGAAATACAACAAATGTCTACCATATGAACAGAGCATTGTAGAATTTCACCTTTAGATAAAACTCCTCACTCCATGAAAAACTAAATGCACTTTTTATAAATAAATTCTCTTTTATCAAAGTGCTGCCAACTAGCCGTGGCTTACATTCAACTCACGTGCCAGCGATATGTCTAACATAACTATGTCCAACGTGACTTGCGGCAAAGGTATTCTGTTTTACAATTTTATTCTCATACGAAGGTAGTTTTATTCTATGTTGTAGGTACTATCGATAAATATAGGAAAGCCGGAGAACTCCCACTTTCCATAGCGATCCGGATCAGAATTGACTTATAACACGACTTTATCAAACCCATTAATTTTCTCCCATATTTCAATAGATTTAATAATATTTGTAATAATTTTTTAAATATTAATATTGAAAAATAAATTTGTTAAATTTTGATGTTTAAGAACATTTGTTTAGCTCTGGACTGTTATTTAAGTCTTCTGTTACAGCGGGTATAGAAAACGAGTATACGTAAACCTAAAATAAATAATATAGTATATTGTTCTTGTTTTTTATTGTACTTTTTCTTACCTACAAATTTTTTTACTATAAACATGTTATTGTGTATATTGTGCATTAATGAAAATATCTAATATGGTATGTATGTATCAAGTATGCAGTTAAATCAATTTTAACATTCTCTACTTCGAATGTCAAGCGTGGGGCCTTCACTGAAAATAACCACATACGTTTAAATTATAAGTATTGTATTGTATTAATTTTTTATTCATTTGTATGTAGAATAAAAGATTTTGATTTTGAAAGGTCTCAAAGCACCGTAGAAATTATTTTCTGTTTTGCCTATCGCAGATAAATCATTAACATATTCAAACACCAGATGAGACATTCAACAAACAGACGTAACGAAGACCGAGTGAATACGAATGCCGTGCGACTCTTCACGAGATAAAAATTCCGGAGTTGTCGCAAATTACGGCGCGGCTGCCGCTCGCTTTACTCACTGTGCGATGTGTATTAGAGCTGAACGGAGCTTTTCGCAAAGATATTTAGACTTTTAACGGCCTTTAGCGTGAAATACATGAAATAATTTTATTTCAAACATGCTTGGAAAGTTCTTCAAGATAAATCAAACTACTACTATTGTATAGTAGGCAGAGCAGCGACTGACAATCGTTGTGTGAAAATCCATATCTATCGTGTTTACCGGCTAAATAAATTACTTTATGAAATCAAATTTTGTCATATAATTTAAAAATAAAATGATCTACTCCGGAACATGGCGACCAAAGGGGTAACTTATCAAAGGTTTGCATGTGGAAGGCTCTTACTAAACAGCTCGTTTCTTTTTTGCAGTAATCTACTATCAACTAATATAAAATCCAATAAATTGCACGTATTATTTAATTTTTGTTTACTACCCGCGTAATACAACAATAAAATCAGTCCTGAAAAATGAAAACTATTTCTTACTTCAAAGACTTTTATTCGTCTTTGAAGTAAGAAATAGTTTTTAGACTTACAGAACACTGGTGGCGCTGGGCGCGTCAGATTATGAGAGCAAATAAAAATTTACAGTAACAGTAGCTGAATGTGACTCAACACGATATAAAAGAATCAAGGGAAGACAGGTCTGGCTGATCTAGAATAGAGAAGATTCGCTCAAAATGCACATAATATGCATGTAAATAAAGATTGGCGACAATTGGAGAAAACCTTCGTCGAAGGACGTACATAAAAGCATCGTCGGTATTTATTTATCTACAATAATGTAATGTAAGTAAATTAAACGTTATAATAAAGACTTTCTTTTTACTACTCTCGCAAACTAATAAAAGCTCAGAGTGTGGCGTTAGTGCTACTGACATCCCGGGTTATATTATGGCACCGACGAAAGCACCACCAGAATGCAGCACTAGCAGTTAAAGAGTCTAGGTCTTCTGCGCTCTGGACCGTTCCTGGTTACAGGCGGTTGTCTCACCCAACGGGCCAACCCAACATTATGACGCTACTTTATAACATAAATATCAGACAACGTGCGATGTGTAATGATTACAATCTAAAACTAACCGTATTTTGCACAGTGGGTAAAATGCTATCGAGGTTCGGCTTGCAGAGCAAGGAATCACGGACGAAGTCAGGTAATTGGGTGCTTAACCACATTACCCACCTCACTACGCCTCGCGCAAATATTCAGACCGTTTTTAAATTGCACAAATTCCAATATTCCGGCAGCTACCTCTGGGATAATTTAGGTAATAAAGGGTTGGCCTTTTAAAAATAAGAGCAAATAAGAAAGACGAAAATTTTCGATAGTATATACGATTAGAATCACAAAAATAATAAGTTATACATCTTATACTAAAATATGATACATTTAAATAAACCATTTCAATAACACACTTTTAAGGGTAAAAATGTGAAAGATTACACTTATGTTTATTTTTACGAACCGTCATCGGAAGATTTGCAGCAGTCGTGGTCACAGGGGGTTTCTGGATAAACTAAGGAATACTAAACTATTTAAATTATAATCTGCATATTTTCGGGCTGTTCGGCCGATGTGAGCGAGAAGAGGTTCTCAGGTGAGAACCGAGGAACAGAGGAACCGAACATCCCGAAAGACAATGATATGCTGAAGGATGGCCGAATAAAAAAAAAAAGATATAGATAAAAGTTTTGTATGTGTTAACAAATAACGCACATAATTTGCAGATATATATTATATCGTAGATCATTTTAATACAAGACTTATAAAAACAAGAATACACCTTTATACATATTATTGCAATAACACAACAAAAACAACCTCAGATCCACTTTCTGGTCTTTGAATTTACAACATAATTATATATTTACTCCCCGTTCATATTATTAAAGTAAATGTGTGATTTTTAAATTTAACAAGATTCAATTATACAGGTGCGACTCGATCCCACGATCAAATGCGTACCGTGCTTTATAGTCTGTACCCTGCTTCCGTTTGTTTGGATTGAAATTATCAAACCTTTTATGTACAATTTCTACCTTAACACATTGTGCTTCTACTTCTAGATCTGAAGGACTTTTACAAATTGTATAAGTCATGTGATATTCAATATTTAATCTTGCTCGTTGGTTTGCTGCTTAAAATAAGACCTCAACATGAAGAGGGAATTTAACATCGCCTCAGGGTGGCAACTCAGTCTATTGTGAGCGTCTCTCTTAGCGAAAAAGAACTTCTCCGCTTCAGAAGTAGCCGGTGCAATTGAAAGCAATATCTCATAAGTGGTTGTGAGATACGACCCCCTTCCACCTCCTGCACTTTCGTAAATACTAAGCTCCCCCATGATAATCTTCTCCAAGTCCAAATTCTGCGGATCGAGCTTCGGTTTAGGCGCTTCACTTCTACACGTTTTTATTTCATTTTCCAGTTGCTTTTCTATAGACGTTTCCTCATCGTCGTCTGATTCCAGTGGATCGTAAATCTTCCGAACTACATCTCTAGAGATCAGTTTATTATTTATCCGATCTTTAATGTGAGGATTTAAACGCGTGAGCAGAGATAGAATATTGCTAACGATATTCTTATCTGTCAGTTTCCTGAACACGTCTTCGTCCTGGCACTTAATGTAAGTGTGGCGATCGTGCAAGTACTGTAGCATACTGGATAGATGCGTTCGCCTTGTTTTTATCTGATTTTTTATAGCAGTGGCGAAGCGCCTACAAAATTCAGTGTTTTGATTGTCTAACTTCCTAAACATGAAGCGCAAAGCGGCATCGGCTGTTAGCAGGTTCGCGTTAGGCTTACACAGGGCGGTTACTGTAGCTTTTATTACAACTAGACTATCGTGGATTTCGCTTAGAATCTGCAGTTCTTCATCCCGAATGAATAAATCCATCTCTAGATAAGTCAGGGTCTCGTGTATACAGTCTTTTAGCTTTAAAAACCTACCTATCATCTCGCACAGCGTGCTCCAACGTTTTCTGCAATCTAGGATCAACGGTATTTCCTTATCGTATTTCTTTTTCACTTTCTTTTGCAGGAGTTCATTCCTGGATGCCGAGTTCTTGTAGTATCGCACTATTTTCCTCACTTTGTCAATGATGCTACTGTGAATCAGTTGGGGTTCTCTGGTAATATCAGGGGGTTTAACAAAAAACGCATTCCTGGTTTCCTTCATACACTCAGAGTCGTCATCACTTTCATCAGTAGCATCCCTTCGCAGATTAGTCGCAGCCACATCTTCGTTATACAAAACTTCGATCACACCGTTTTGAATGCCCTGAGCGAGGCAGGCTTGACTATCGAGCTCGACATTAGTTCCAAATTTTATTTCCGACAAAGTTGAACTAGTTGTAAGTGATATAATATCTTTGTAAAGATTCAAATCAAAGGATTGCAAGCGTTTTACTATTTGTTGTATGATTAATTTGTTTTCCATTTCATTAAAGATTTTGATAAGACCTAAATTTTTCGTTTCTCCAAAATGTGAATCTTCGTTATTAATTTTAAGGCTTATGTACTTCTCGTCTTTTGCTGTGAGAAACTCTTCTAGAACCAAACAAAATTTTACTCCTGCGTCTATAAGAGTTTTAAGTTCTCGTGCCACCTCAAGCATGACTATATCTGTCTGTTGAAGGATCATACTAACTGTCTCGATGTCAGAGGACGGTAAGTCGTAGCCGGAGTCAGTTAGAAGTTTACGTAAGTCGGGGGACGAGGTAAAGCTTCTCAGCGGAATTCCATCTAATGCAACCATTCTGGAGATAATTTTCATAGGAGTGACGGCATTTTGAATGTCTATCTGATAGGAATGTTCGTTTTGAATCTCAATATTGTTATCATGAACATCATTTAGATCTAATACTATTTCGTCGTCTGGTGTAACTGTGGCCTCTTGTTTTATGACTGTGAGAGGCATTTCTACCTCCTTTTCAACTTTAGTAAAGGACTCCGTGGAATTCTCTATATACGATTTATGAACCTGTTTCATGTGATTAATCATGTTTCCTGTCGAAGACCCTTTGGTTTTAATTATTTTTGAACAGATCTTACATTTGGCAGTTTGATGGTCGCTTGACCTTAAAAAAAATTTCCACATCGAAGAATATGTGCGTCTTTTCTTTTTCATCGGCACGGTCTCGTTTTCGAAATAGTGTACTGAGCTGTAAAAAGAAAAATATAAATTATTAGACAAAAACGGCAATCAACATCAAATAATAATAATAACCAAGAATACATTTCATGTAGGTACCTACCAATTAACGAAAGTCAAAATAGAACGACATCGCATCCTGTTTAGTTGTTATATGGTTGGGGAATTTCAACTACCATCTAATGAGCCCCTTGCTTGTCTGCCCTTATCTACCCTAAAAAGAGTATTATAGGTAATTTACACCTACACCTACCTTTCATTCACAGCCTTATGCTTTTTAGATTTCCTATCTTCTTTCAGGACAACCTCATAACTTTTGCCCACTACCTCATCATTAAATACGGTCTCAGGATCTTGCATAGGACTGTTCAATTGGCGAGGCTTCCTAATTTGAATTGGATCGATTTTAATCCCATGTTTTAATCGCAGGTGGCCGTGGAGACCGCTAGTGGACGATCCGAGCGTTTTCACAATACGGGAGCATATTTTGCATTTCGCGCTATTTCTATCCGTTGCAGTAAGAAAATATTTCCACACCAGAGATGGATTTCGTTTCCTCGTGTATTCGTCATAACCGTCTGTTGACCTGGAAACATTGTTAAAATCACTCGACTACAAGATTTAAATCCTCGACAAAATAACATCCAAGTAAATACTGTCTATAAGGAGTTTACGCGAGTGGTACACATTTAAATAAAACACTTTAACTGTTTAAAACGCGATATATTAGTTAAACTTATTTGAAAATGACGCCGTGACAGTCTCCCCGTGACCACGGCTGCTGCAAAGCATCCGAAACGTCGGGCCGAAGTTAAAATCATTTTCAAATAAGTTTAACTAATATATCGCGTTTTAAAGCGTTAAAGTGTTTTATTTAAATCCCAGTAAAATCAAAAGAATTTACGTCGGTCAATAAAGGGAATACATGGAGGTATTCTTATTTTTCGGATATTCATAATATTGTTCTGTTTATATTAATAAATATGTAAAAACATGTATGTTGTATGGAAACCAAATAAATATTTTTAACTTAAAACTCGAAAGGAAATAATTAATTTTATTCTTTTTCTATTCGTATGCGGGCCAAATGATATATCTATCTATACTAATATATAAAGATGGAGAATTTGTTTGTTTGTTTGTTTGAACGCGCTAATCTCTGGAATTACTGGTTCGAATTGAAAAATTATTTTTTAATTGGTTAGAACATGTATTGCCGAAAGCTACAAAACATAGCGCTGTCAATAATAGGAGCAAAGGAACAGCGGGTAATTGAAAAAAACGGGAATATTATTCATCCATTCACGCTGCCAAAACGGTTTAAGGTACCCAAAAATATGTATCAAAGTATGATTTCTAAATTATCTAAAAAAAATCCTAGACAGTATATGTAAAAGTCGTGGGTAAAAGTTTAAATTGATATTAACAACTATTCTACGCGTAAGGAAGTCGCTGACTCAGCTAGTACCTAATAAAATAAGAGAAGGGAGAAGAGATCTTTTATGTTCGGAATGTTACAAATGAACTAAGAAAAAAAAACTAATCTGCATCAATGCTTTAAAATGTACAAATATGTGTATAGTTTACGCGAGTAGTACACATTTAAATAAAACACTTTAACGGTTTAAAACGCGATATATTAGTTTTCAAATAAGTTTAACTAATATATCGCGTTTTAAACCGTTAAAGTGTCTTATTTAAACGTACATACATGCCAAGTGCATGTATTTACATAATAAACAAACGTCACTTTGACATTAGCTTGCCTTGGCTTTTCCAGATAAGGCTTTATCAATAAACACATTTCTTTTAATCCATACAACGTCATAAGCATTAATACTATTGCATAATAATATGATTTCTCTAATGTTTTTGTAATAAATTGTTTGATAAACGTATTACAATCACAGTACATCCATTATTTGCACAATCCTAACCAAACCGGTTACACCGATAATCATTATACGCACACGGCGACACTTTCATTTGGTTTTTGTCACTATCGCCATTCTAACGAGCAAAACAAACAAACGACTATGAAAGAAACAAAGGTATAGAAACAAAATACTCACATTATAATTGAAATAGTTCGAGACGAGCGAATAACCGACTATCACTCAAGCCGTTCGGCGTCACACTCGTCGGATGCGACCGGTGGCGATATGTACCGTTGCATTGCGTCATGCGAAATTGAACCTTATCGCCTTGACTTTAGAATTCTATTGCATCCATTCACCGGTATTGAACGTAAAACCGGAGTTTCCTATTGGCTAAAAATACATTCTCCGAGTACTTCGACCCGGTTTGTGTATTATTCAAGATGTAGATAATACAGATTACGTGTTGTTTTAATAAACATATTTACCTTTGTAGAATCGTCTAAAACGTTTAGAGATATATATATAGATTAAATATTTACAATATAAATTGACTATTATTATTATTATTACTTTGTATTATAAAACTAATGAGTTTGTTTGTTTATCAGGCTGCGATCAATAGAAGCGAAACGAAGAAACAGGGAAAAAACCATCACAACCCTTTTCGGGAAAAGCTCAAATAGCTCATTGGTTAGAAATGCGTGATTAGGCACACTGAAGAAAAGAGGTTTTTTTCGATTTTCATATTCAAAATGGCTGCGCCAATTTTCGTTATGATATTCGTGATTAGGAGGTCAAAATACATAAGTATACCAAATTTCTCGCGGCGTTGCCTTTCGGAAGTTTATCCAATTATTCAACCCTGTGGGCTTCCGATGCGTATGTACCAAATGAAAACGGTGACAGATACCCCAAAAACATGTCGGAAAGAATGAATCCTCCTTAAATGATATAACAAATGTCCATTACACTGTCTGTTTATCTTTAAAGATTCACCTACTACTACTAAGGCCCCATATATGGCTATAGCCGTAGTGAAAGTAAAATTTTGTTACTAAGGTACAATTACAATGCAATCATTAAAGTTGATGTTTACACAAGTTCTTTCAGGCTCTAGTCAGTTTTTTTCTGTCATGTCTTTCAGTTTTTCTGTCATCTATTTCCGCTCTGCTGGCTAGTTTTAAATAATGAGGATCTTGTGATTAGATGTGTCCTTGCACGTCGTAAATGTTTTTCTTACTCGTGCCGGCGGTTCGAACTTAAACCAAGCTCACGCATTCGTCGCGTGGCAGTCTGTATTGGTATATTTGTAACAGGTTCTTGCGTTCTTATTGTCGGGTAAAGTATGAAATAAAAAAAACTCTTTAATCTCGATACAAAACCGAATATAATAATAAAAATAAAAAATATAAAAATAAAACGCTACTTAAGCTTCCGAATGAAACATGAAAATGTGTTTTATGTAATATTTTATTAATCCGCTTTACATTATTATGTACGTCCATCGCAATTGTCCACTGTGAATGCACTTTTATCAAAACTATTAAATGTGGCGTGGACTGCGTACGGTCAGTATTGAGTTCATGTAACAAATGAAATTTTAAATTATACATAATATTGTAAAATATATTTATAAATATTGTCTATAGTTTACGCGAGTAGTACACATTTAAATAAAACACTTTAACGGTTTAAAACGATACGATACAATAATATGTCGCGTTTTAAACCGTTAAAGTGTTTTATTTAATTATGAATATGATAAATGATAGTATTTGTAACCGTACGATTTTAAACTTAATAGATATAAAAAGTATAATAAATTTAAAACATTGTGTTCATCTTTTTTATGCTTTTTTAACTCATATAAGTACTTAATTAAAATAATACAAGGTTTATTGCTTTGCATTAGAATACTAAGTAATACATAATAATTGAACTACATTAGAAACTTCTTCGGATTCTCAACATATTCAAAATGTATAGGTACATAGACTTTATACAACTGAGTGGTTTGTTTATTATTATATTTATCCATTTATCTTATATTGTCACAAATCATGACCTTATTAACGCATTTTATTCGTTCCTTTATTAGTCAATACTGGACGCACACAGTCCACCAAAAACAATACGAATCTATCGCTTTATAAATTTCAAATGTATCTACTTATAGTATTGTATTGCTCTTGAACACGCGTCAAATGAATTAAGTTACACTTGAGAATGCTTACAATTTTAACAATTTAAAGCTATTTATTTTATTTGAGCTATACTACTGATGGTGTGAACATTTCTTGATACTTTCATCGTAAAGCGGTTATATTGGAAATCATAGATTGTAAAATTTCAATAAATATTTTACTTGATTGTAAATAATCTGTGACTTCGCTTGCTGCATCTGAAACATCGCGTCGTAGTTAAAATAGTTAGCTAATATATTTAATTTTAAACCGTTTAAAGTATTTTGTGTACTTAATACGTTTATTTCAATTACGCTGTTTCAATATAGGCTAACGGGCTTAGCACTCTTGCCTTTCCATTCCTTCCGACATTCTGGTCTAAAGTCGACTACATACTATCTACGTAGGCAACAATATAAACTGGAGTTAAACTATTATAAATAACGAGTAAATGTGTCTCGTATTTTTTTATCTTATTCTGAGCGTCTCTTTTTTCCGATTAACTCGCTTCAGTGATAAGGGCTATAAAGTTTAGTAACATATGAAATACTTCAAAACATTGCACACATCTTTAAAGTCATAATAAAAAAAGAAGTAGTAGAATAATAGTAATATAGGAATTATATATCGATACAGATTATATCAAGAAACATTTGCACCATCACGAGGCAAATGTAGATTATACTATGTCAACAACACCTAACTACGCGCTTGTCTAATATATGTAAAGCGATTGCGATCCGCGATTTATATAAAGTCGATTCGGCGATTAATATAATTTGTACTCATATAACATAATTCATTTAAACGCTACATTAAGCTAGTGAGGTCATTTTCGCATTGCTTAATTCGTAACAAGTCGATTATAAAATATCTAACAGAGGGTATTAGTTGTAACGCACTCGCGAGATATAAAATGCCAATTTAAATAAAACTGGTGTGAATTGATTGCATCACCAAATTGAGTTATGCAACATCGAATTGTGCCAAAAGGAAATATTCCTAGGTGTCGCAGGCCAAAAATAGACTTGGAAGGACTCAAAAATCTTCTCTTTGCAACGACTGAAGAAAAGTTTAATGTATCTAAGAAATCGACTCGTGTTATAAGTATAAGTAGGGGCACGGATCTTAACGCTGAAAGAATCCTGCGCAGAAATAAAAACTTATTTTTTATTATATCGAGGGGACGGAAGCGGGCGCGGGGCGAGTGAACGTCACTGTGCACTAGCTTCGATTGGTCGCCCAGTCGTGTTGTCCTCGGACACACGTTTTCCATTCAATTACGTGCGCGATTTTACAGATGCGCAACTGTCCCCTCTACACTTCGTTCAGCGATAAATAACCGTCCCGCGACCGATACAGGACATTTAAAATTTCGCAATTACGCACTGTGCACCTTCAAGAAGCAACAACATAATTGAATAGAGCTAGTGAATATTCATAATTTTACATACATAAATCAAACTCACATAAGTACATTTACGATGTAGAAAAACATATAACTGTAAGCTTATTTTGAGCACGCTAGAGCACCCGGGTGTCGTATAAATTCATGAAACGTGCATTTTGTAAAAAAATATATTTTCCTACTCGGGCCTTCTGCGGTTATAGGCTTAACCTACTGCGACGGCAAAACGCTTGTTGGGAGATGAAGCGCTGTACAAATTTGTGTCTTTAGGACTTTCAACATGTTTTCCTCATACAGACCACATGGTAATATCATGTACATCTAAGTATATTTTTAATTCACGACCGGACGTCGAACTCTCGTCGTTGGTCATAAACATCGACTGCACATACCTATGTATCAACAAGACTCTGATTACTAGTTTATTTCAATTTGTACTTCTTCAATTCTGAATGGCACTTTGATCTAACATATTAATTTTTAATTTAGATCTGCGCTCCAGTTAAACCTCCATCGGCCATTATATTTGTAAGCAATCATTACATCATAATAAACACGAACCGTTATTTGTACGCATATAAAAAAGGCCAAAATAATGATAAGTAATTTACAACCTTAATAAAACTGACGAATGTTATCATGGACAAGAGGTACGCCCACTTTTTATAGTACCTCAGGCCAAAAATGGACATGGAAATGCAAAGAATACATATTGATTTTCAGTAATTGTTATTATGTATTACAGTGGAAATAATATAAAACATTATTTATTGTCCATTTATGGCCTTAAATGGGCATTTCCTGTTGAGAGGCGTAGAGTTCTGCAAATACTCTCTAGCTATAATTAAGTTGCGTCAGCCACAAATTCTATACGTACTTAGATACTATCAAAATATGTCTAACGGGTGAAAAAAGCTATATATTTCTTTAGGCCCGAAATTGGTTAACACAGTTGCATAGAAGCTAACAAAGATGTGACAATCGTTCTTGGTAGAAAGAATAAACTAGTCCTTCGCTTGCAATCAACAACGAATTGCCAGAGACAAAATAGATTATTATTTAAAAAATCTTTTTCCCTATTCCTTCCTATCTCGCCAAATAATATTTCATTTAATGCCTTTTATTAATAACGTATATATTTAAGAACATAAAGTATCAGGCCTACGACCTATTGACGTGCATCAAAGCCTTTGTTAACTGTAAAAACTGTCAAATAAAACACAAAATATACCTATAGACAGCGCGATATATCTATAAATATTGATAGATATATCTATCTATGTCTATAGAGCGCTAGAGTTATCAAAAGATTACTAGATTTATCTATGGACTTCTATTTTGAAACATTTCAGAAAGGTCGGAAGCCAGGTGGATATTTGGCGGGAAGCGCCCGCGCAGTACATTCAGCTAAATGGGTCCAGCCGAGCTGGGTGTAGGCGGTCACCAGCCGCTCTTCCACCTCCCGGGACGGTTTCTCTTCGAGGATCTTGTTCAGGAGCTTGATAGAGCGCCCCCAATGCTTCAGAGCGAAGCAATGCCACACGCCGTAGTGAATGACCTGGAAATGTAACGTGAGATACAAGATATTAAAAAAAAAAAATCTATTGTTATCTTTTTTTAGGACTACACTAGTTTTTGTATGTAAAAGAGGTGTTGTTGACCGATTTTGACTTAGGATATTTGCAAATTTAGACTGAAACCGAAGCGTGATTAAACTTCATGGCTTTTTCATAGGTGGGCGGTGGAGAAAAATGTTAAGCCCGGTGAAGATAGAATCGGGGACCCGTTGATTATTAGCCATACAATGCTACCCTTACAAGACTAGCCTGACAAAGTGGGCTGTAAATTAGACCGTTAGCATTCTAAATACATATTTAAAACATAAAATGCCTATCTTACCTTGGTATCTGTTAGGTCAGTGAACTTGAGTAGATCATTTAGATTTGCAGCTAGTGCTTCAGCAATCTTCTCACGCGCCGCCGAACTCGCCGCGAGCGCTTGCAATCGGCATAGCGCTGTGCCCTTACGGCAGAGTGCCTCTATAAGGTAAGCCCGTTGTTTTTCCTGCTCCCTATACCAAAATGCACAAGTGGGTAATGATATCTAAACACTAATATATAAATATTATAAACATGAAGAGTTGGTTTGTTTGTTGGACCGCGCTAAACTCAGAAACTATTGGTTCGAATTGAACAATTATTATTGTGTTGGTTGGAGGAGCATTTATGGAGGAAGCCTATAAATTATGCAGCGATCAATATGAGCGAGGAAAATGTGGGAAAAAACGGGGGAAAATATTCAACTTGGAGGGTTTTCGTTGATCAAAGAATATCCACGACAGTATGTCTACCTTTTAAGATAAACTTGTAAGAACGACGGGTCGCGACCAACAAAGTGGGTAACAGTGGTAATTTATAAAGACGAGGAAGAGGTTTGCAAAAACTAATTTTAATGATGGGTATATATATAGTTTATATAAAATAACACATATTGCTCACATCTCATTTCAAAATGAAGATTCTATTCAATACAATACAAAAAAGAACATGAATAATTCTAACACCATTGCAAATTTAGAAAATCCTAACATGCTGGATCCAGTTAAAATCTTCATAATATATGACTGGCACTGGCCTAACATAATTTTGCATCTTTCTTTCATATACGTATAAATATTACAGTATAATCTGAATAAGACAATACTGACTGTTTGATTTTGTGCGCGTCGGGTCTCGTGTCGTTCTTGATTCCGAGGAAGGCTAACAACTTGTCATGTTCAACGCCACGCACTACTTTGTCAGCTATGTTAACTAACTGTTCGCACCACGCCGTCGTCACTTCGGGCTCTGCTAGACTCGGCAATCTGTAAAAAGAAACATTTTAATCTATATTAGTTTGAAAACGACACGGGCAGCACTTGAACCGACATTTAGTGATCGGTGCTCGAACCAAATGAGCTACTGTGTCTCATACGTAATCGTCAAATTTCTTCAACACATAGATAGATACACCTTTTGGTGCAATGTAATTTCAACCTTAACACTTACAAATTGATATTCCTATGGTTTGCAGCTTAAGAAATCATTTATGATAAAATTATAAAGCTTATATAGAGTTTGAAAACTATTTTTTACATGTTATTATTGCACTTGTAAACCCACCTTATTTATAAAGAAAAAACTGTGTAATAAATTCAGACTTACTTATTTCCATCTGTTGGGGGGTCGATAGCCTGAAGATAAGCGACGTGAGCTCCCAAATACCCTGGAAACTTCTCAACCAACTCTTCATACACTTGCTCTAGCTTGTCGCCCTCTGTTAATAATAAATTGTTTTAGTAAGACAATGCCCATTCTTTTGAAATAATCCTGAATAACCAACCAGAAATTGGAAAGTAATTTTTAAATGATAATTTTTCTTACCTAATTTAGGTAGCCAAGTTGTGGATAACTCTTTTATAGCGTCCATATAATCCTCGTGAGATTTAGCCTTCTCCCTCTCTTTTTCCCTTTCTTTATCTCTAGTTTCCCTCCTTCGCGGCGGCTCACATACCATATACTGCAGTTGATAAACATCAACACGTCTTCCCAGCTCGTCTTTCGCGAAGGTAACTGTGCCGGTTAGCGTTTGGCCTAGTGAGAGATTAGAGCGACTCAATCTAAAAATAATAAATTATGGTGAAAAAGAGAAATTCACATTATATTTTTTACAGAACTAGTACTTACTTATCAGTAGGCACGGGTGTGAAATACAGAGGCAGTAAATTGCCGCTAGATAACGTAGCTGTTGTAAATTTCTTTCCACCGGTTAAAGCCTAAAATAAAATACAAATTAAATCTGGCTCGAAGGACTAATATTTCTATTTTCGTTTAAGTATAACTTATACAAAACATTTTATTAATATAATTATCAGTAAGAGGTTTATGGTTAGGTATGGGTAGTTTTTCTTATTTAATTAATTCTCAGTTGTATTTTTTAATAACTTCATATACATTTTAAGCCGTATTCACATATCGTTTTTAAACTCACATTAGGTGGCGAACAGTAAGCATCAAGAGTGATGGGTTGAGCTAGCCGTTGCTGCACAATGAGTGGCAAATCTTGCAGCCGTTCGAGCAGTGTTTTGTTTTCGTGTCGTACGCTTAGGCGCACTGTGTATTCACCTTTCTCTAGTTTCACTGAATACTGGAAAATACAGTTTTAATAATAGTTGATCATCCTTTTAACTTGATTAGGACGGACTAAAATTACCATATGGTGACCAATAATTAATTATTTGCTTTTTCTGGTATTTTATCCTTTTATTTTATATGATAAAAGACATATTTAAGCTATACTTGACTGGCTTGAATGTGAAAAATAACACACAAATTAAATAGCTAATATTACTTTAGAAGGATATGCGTCTCCCACAGCCATCAGTTGCTTAGATGAATTGTACAGCATCCACATTTGACTCTCAAACTCGGATTCATACAGCATATCACACAGGAGCGATACAATAGGTGCCACCTGCCGAAAAAGACCAATTACAACTGATTTTAACCTTAAAATTACTACATTGAATAAGTTCTTAAAAATTTATAGATGTTTTTCAAGAATCTTATTTGTAACAAATGTTTTACCAAAGATACTTTCTTTTCCAGACTCAAAAATAAATCTCAACATCTTACAAATCAACACCACATAGCTATTCAAGAAATAAATCAAGCTTATCTATAGGATTTAAAAAACTAAGATGGCATACCTCAGTAGGCTTCGCTATGTGGAACGTATATGTGTTGATCATCTGGTAAATCTGTCTGGACGGCGGGATCACGTCTCTAGTTGTTAAGGGACTAATTTTGGACTCGGTCGGTCTGAAAATTAAAAAAAAAACTCGTTATAAGTATCTGGTTTGAACTATAACCTTTAATCATACAAAAAAAGTTTTATTTAGGTCCTACCTGTACAATGGTTCCGTATGTTTTAATTGTGCGGACGGCTGGACATCTTGTGCGCGCAGCGAAGACAATACAACGGCACCAAGCGCGTGCGCAGGTAGGGTCAACTTCGAGCCGAAATCCGGTTTGAGACCGTGGAATTCCAGAGAGTAGTCCACGCACATCTCACCGAGGTTCGCCCAGTATTTAGCTATCACTACTTCGAGGGTAACACCGCCCTGTAAAGAAGGAATTACGATAATGAAAAATTATTAACTCATCACGTATGGATTAAAATACATAACAGTATTGTTATGTTAAATTTGTGCAAGAGACTAGATTTGAACAAAGGACTACGTATTTTGTACATTAAATACTATATTTTATAGGTGAACAACTTTTTGTTATATCAATTTGTAGTCTCTGTGTAAATTTAATTTTGCTTTTTATGGGTTAATATGACTGAAATTTTATTTTACTCAAACCATGCTGAGCCATACTCACAATTATTTGAAAAGGCAGCAGTGTTGGTGCCTCATTGGTGATAGAGATCATCTTGTGCGTTTCGTGCGTACGACAACTCCGCAACGGCGCCAACTGCATACAGTGCACCAAGAAACGACCACCAGCTTCGCCGGCCGTTGCACTGTGACCTCCCTGGTTATCTTGCACCAGGGATACCTTCAATACGCCCCAGGTTGCCTCTAGGGGGGCTGAAAAGATCGAATTAATATAGTAACGACTTTAAATCGTGGTAGAACCACCTAACGTATTAAGCACAAATTCACGTATCTTATTGTATGCATGCATTATAAAGTATATATTTTTTAAATATTATAGTAATTTGAGTTAACAATGACAGTCTTATACAAAGTATTAAAAAATATTTAAAGTAAGTATTTAAAAGAATGTATGAATATGAAAAATATCATGCTTACGTATAACTATATGTCGATGTATGGTTGCCGGTTTAAAGAGGACACTGTTGTGGCAGAGACGAGGCGCTGCACTGCATAAGGGCAGCGGCTGCGGCTGCAGCACTGTCACCGGAACCCGGAACACTGGACCCTTCTCCACGCACGACACGTCGTACGCGTTAATGCTGAAAGGCATTGATACAATGTTAATTTCATGTGCTAATACTACACATATACAAACAAAAGCACTATTCATATAAGATCTCTTTGGTGATATAATAAAGTTTACAGTAATTAGTATTAAAACCTAATAATAGACAAACATTTGTTTCTCCGCAAATCATAGCTTTAAATCGCGAGGTATAATGGTTATCAGTCTTTTCTGACCTTCAAAGCTATAGAACGAGTGGCAGTTTGTCTTGTTCAAATTGGCCTTATTTCAAAGCTCAAGGAGTTGTTTAAGGAATACAACTGTGCAGATTATATAAAAAATAAACTGTTGTCTGTAGTTTACGCGAGTAGTACACATTAAATAAAACACTTTAACGGTTCAAAACGCGATATATTAGTAACACTTATAATACAATTATTTTAACTGCGGCCCAACGTTCCGGATGGACGGAATCATATGTCAGATAAATTTCGTTAATATATATCGCGTTTTAAAACCGTTTAAGTGTTTTATTTGAATTGATATAAATTGTTACCTAGCAAAGTGCGGCCCTGGCGGTAGATGAGCTGTGTGTACGCGTACCGAAAGCGCCCGAGAGGCATTCGTGAGATCGAGGTAGGAAGGAGTGGAAACCCACTCTGCCGAGCTCGTGAGGGCCAGTCGGATGCCGAACTGAATCTGCCTGCGAATCACTGCCTCCTCTGAAATTATACACCTATATACGCTTTTGTGTATCGGCTGTAAGTAAGTCAACATCTGCTGAGCATTTTTAGCAATCTGTATTTAGTACTAATTATATATTTCTTTATTTTCTATATACTGATGGATATATTATACTGATACTCTATATATTGACGCGGAACAAAAATAGTAATCAAGGTACATTTCATCATAACTAAAATATGGTGCAATCCGTAGATTACGCGAGTGACATCTAAATATAACATTTTAACGTGAAACGCGAAATAGGTAATTTATTTTCTTCGACGTCAACTGCTTTACAGCAGCCGTGGTATTGTTTTATATTTAAAAAATGATCGTACTTACTGGTCTCCGAGTCCCTTTGCAAAAAGTGCGGTTCCACAGTGATCGCAATATCCCTGGGCGAGTCATCGGGTCGCGGTCGGAGGAAAATTCCCTTCGTGTTTGCCCCACACGAGATGTTGAATGTTGCGTCTCGCTCCGGTTGTTCATGGTATTGGGTTAAGATTTCGAAAGCCTACAAAATAATTTTGTCATAAATCTGAAGTGAACTTTGCCAGATTTGCTAAATAATAACATTAAATGACTTTAATGTAACTTAGATCCTAAAAGAATCTGATAAACCGGATTGAAAACCGGGTATTGCAAGTTTATTAAATTTGCATTTAGATTAGTTACTATTACTAATTATCATACTGGTAACATAGTCCTTCATTATTCTCAATGAACTATCGAATTTGAATTCGAATTTGTGGAAATGTATTTAAATTTTTTCGTATTCATTTGTTTTGATAAATCAACTACAATTTGAAGACTATGTAAGCAAAATATACCTTTTCAACATTGAGCAGTCCACAACCTTGCGCCCACGGTTCGACATGGTTCAGATAAGTGGCAGAGTTTTCTAAGGCGCGTTTCACGGAGTAAGGTGAATAGGGTAACGCTTTTGCTTTCAGGCCGGACATTAGCACCGCTGTAGAAGTTATATATTTGTATATTAGAAACGATTGAACCTTAGTAAAAACAATTTTGAAGTAGGAAATGATTAATACGGTTTAAGAAAAACGACAGTAAGCAAACCAAAATTAGATTAAATAGGTATAATATAGTGTCCATTAAAGAAATAAAATTTTACCAACTGCTCCGGCGACATGTGGCGCAGCCATAGACGTTCCGTTCATTAGCTGCGAGTTGCGAAGTGTAAATCTGGAAAGTGTATACATATTACACTACAAACAATACAACCTCAAACTTAACTCAAACTAACAAAGACAGAATAAATAAGTACATTTAAAAAAGAGAAAGAAAAAAAATAGAAACTTGGAAGAGTGCCTGTGAAATGAAAGGCTCTCGGCGTATGCTTCACCACCCATAATAGAGGAGAAGCACTGGTTCTCACTGGTAGTGGTGGTGGTGGTCAATGTCACTGACTGAGAAAAGTTTACCTGGCTACGGAAGCAACAGCTCCCCCTGGTGCGCAGACAGCTAGCCCTGCAGCGCCATCTGGACAGGGCCCTCGCGAACTCCAGCTAAATGCACCAGGCGGAGTACGAGCCCGCATGGAATACGCAGCGCTCATCATTTCGGGAGAAACGTACGCGCCAACACCTTAAACAAAGATCATATTCATTGGCGTATTTTAAGAATATTGTCTTAGTAAATATACTTTTTTTTTTAATCAATAACACGCTTACAGCGTTGTATATTCCTTTCAAGTGACCAAAACATATATATATATTATGGATTATTAACCTACCAATAAGTACAGGATGAGCAATATCTGGGGGCGCTCCGACTGTGGCGAGGGCAGGTCCATGGTTACCTCCAGACACAACCCAGGACACACCATAACGATTAACTACTGTGCTTATTATGTCACCAATACGACTGTAAAAAGAGAGATCCATTTTTAGAGGCATGCCTTATTTCTATATATTTTCTGGCAAAAATTTGTAAAATTACAATGTGAGCCGTGCCATGGAATGTAAATATGAATGGTTACGGTAAATACTATCTAAATACATTTTGATATACGCACCCAGCGTTCGACCAATGAGCGTGTTCTCCATAACTCATATTGATGACATCAATCTGATTCTTCTTGCAGAGCTCCATAACTTTAATGCAAGCCCGCACAAGAGCAGTCCCTGTCTCCATCGATCCGAGCCGGCCATCTCCAATGGTCAAGGACACTATTTGCGCACCAGGGGCCACTCCATTCCTGTCGGGTTCCTCGGGGAAATAGCCAGCAGCGATAGCAGCTACATGAGTACCATGTGTAGCTGTGAAAATCAAAAAAGTCTCAGCTTATTTGGCGGGTTTTTAGCTAGACTGAAAACTGCAAGGATTATATGGGCCCTTAAGCATTTTTTTTAATGTAAATAAATTTTATAACTTACAGCACATGCTGACCACTTCCAGTATGTTGCCTTCGTCATGTACATTAATTGTAACTGTCATTTCATCCAAGGGGGTCAGGTGGGTATGCTCATGGGTAATGCTATATTCACCAAGCAATGGTCCAGTTGAGAGATCTCCACTCTCTGAAGTGTCTATACATGCCCTGTCAAAAGAGTAAAATAGGATACAATTTATTGACCACTTGTTGTATTTATATAATACATTAAATCTAATGCAACACGTTTTTACCAAGCAGATATTTGTTTTCTTACCTCCAGACATTTCCATCATGAAACAAAACACAGTCATAAGTGGGTCCAAGGTCATTATATTTTTTATCAGCACTTTGTAGAACCTCCACCCTTGCTTCTAACTCCTCTTTCATAAGTTTGTCTTCAGGACTCAGCATAGAATTCTTTGATACTGTTAAGAGATTGCATTTAATTTTATATAAGAGACATTTTAGGTGCAATGTAAATATTATGTATTTTATATGTTTAAGGGTTGTTTGGCATGCTTCTTGGGTTTTCAACAAGAACAACACAAGGTACAAAAGGATTTCAATAGCTAACGTATTATAAGCAATTAACCCCTACAGGACCATACATAAGATAACTGAGACTAAATATGTAAGTAAAACATAATATTTTACTATGGCAGTAAGTAACAGAATATCTATACAAATAACACAACTGGGTGTATAGATTTACTAAAATTTCCATACAATTTTTTGTAGGAGGGAAAAATATTTCCCTTAAGTGTGAAATGGTTAAAGAATAATATGGCCTTGGTATCCAATACATTCTATCCAAATGGACTAACTTGGAGTGTAGAGAACTCATTCTATTATTACCTAAGAGTTTTTTGAGTTTAAGGAACACAGACTCATGATTTGTATTCATTTAAATAAAACACTTCAACGGTTTAAAACGCGATATATTAAATTATTTGAAAATGATAACTTCGGCCCGACGTTTCGGATGCTTTACAGCAGCCATGGTCACGGGGAGACTCTGACGGGGATGATTTATATTCTTTTAATGAACTTTTTAATTTCACACTATGTCATATGACATACTAAATTCGTAATTGTTTCAATAAACAAGTTCAAAAGTCATAAAATTTAGATTGTATCAAAAGGCGTATTATTGTTTTAAGACTTCTTTAATGACAAGACTGCCTGGCAGTGGTATGAATTGCTCCTTAGGTCATTAAATTCATAACAATGTATTAGTTTGTAAGACATGTTAAAAAAAGCCAGACTTTTTTTTATTATGTTGCTCTTTTGAACAACATAATCATGACGAACGGACAGACAAACATATTATTTAATAGTTTTTTGACAAATCTAAATAATTTTACAGAGGATAAAGTAAATGTTATTTTTAGCTATTATACCGTATTTCATTTATGTAAATGTCCTAATAATCTACTGAAACTGCAGAAATATGTTAATAATAAACTTGATTATGGAGATCAGCAACTGCTGATAGGAAACAAATATCAAATTTGTCTTTGATCTATTATGACATTAGGATGATTGCATAATTTAACAATTTTTTTTGGCATGCATAAAAATATACATGACATACAATTTTATCAAGCGGAAGAAAATAATTTTTTTTAACAGCAAAAGCTGTGTTAAAAGCAAAAACATGTTAACTTCAAATTATAAACTAATCATTTTTATTGCAAAAAGGGCATTGATAAATATTTTTATTTACAGCAAGGTGTTTTCATATAGCATGAAATAAAAGTTACACTTTTCTACAAATCTACTAAACCATGTCCAACTATAACATATTATCGTCTTGTCACAGGATTCAAATACAATGGAATTATTTATGTTTAAGTTAAGAAATATACTACACCTTCACTTTCAAATTCCTGTAGTCTTTTATTAGCCTCAGCAAAGGCAGTTTTGTGACCCACATCCCAAAAATGTTCTTTTCTATGTTCCTGTATCCTCTCTTTTACCTTTGTAGGGTATAGGCTGAAGGGATAAATAACACCAATTCTCCACTCTCCCAATGGGTTCTTCCATGACTCTTGTATCTTGCAAAAGAAAATAAGACAAATAAAAAAAAGGTAGAAACAAAAATAAGCTTAGATGAGCTCAATAATTTCATAAGGCAAAGTTGTAGTAATGTGCTCATGTTATTAGACTGGTTCATCATCATGTTAGATATGTTATAACTTAGCAAATATTCATCCTATTTATAAACCACTCAAACATTTATATTACATTGGATTACATTTTTGTGTAAATCAGCACTCTTAAATAGTTAAATCAGTTAAGTATGTTTAGGTGCCTACAAATTTAATTTGGGAGCTCTGGAGCCGAATTCAACAGACAAAGTCTTATACTAAATACAATTTTATCATTTGAAGGACATCGGTATTTACTATTATTATTACTTTTTCTCGTAGCAACAACGTAGTTTTAAGTAAAAGGTTAAAAAATAGTTTATAGTAGTAAGTCGATTTTGTGTGGATTTTTTCGTGTACAGCTGATTGACATTGTACTTACTTTTAACTTGCGCCCCGTAATACCGGTAATGTATCCGTCGACGACTTTTCGTACCACAGTACTTGTATCTACATCGCCACAACCGCTGCAGTCGAATCTCTCTATCACCTTTGTTTTTCCTGTACTCGTAATCTAGAAGAGTTAAGTCATAAAAATACAAAACCGCAAATATTTAACTTCCATAAAATCATGACGAATCACAATTTTTACCGTAAGTCCAGCCGCCGCGGGATCGACGCCAGAGTCAAAAATCGCAATAACTGTATCTCGGCCATCATAATTCGGATACTTGTTTAGAAAAGAAACTACCCCTGTTTCTTTTTTCGGCATTAAACCCCAGACAGGGAAATCACAATCGATCGGTACGTCTGCCATGTTTGATGACCGGATACCTAGTACACAGATTAAGCGGTAAATTTAAGAAATCTGCAAATATGTGTAACAGATTACGATACCTTTTGAAAAATTGACTTCTGATTAATTAATAATTACCACGGTGCTGGCATATAAGAGTAAAAAATAAATACGAAATGATTTGAAAAAAACATTGACGTCTCAAATACAAGACGCTGAAGCTATATTCATTTTAAGACGTCTATTGGAATTTTTCAAAAACATATGAATAGAACTAAGGACTATAAAAATATTTAAAGTATGTGGTTTAATGTTCTTCCAGCTTATTTTATTATTACAGCTGGAATGGGACTGCCTGGATTGGGTCTATATTGGTTGCACTATTTAACTTTGGGAAATGTAATGTATTATATTCCCTTTATTTTAGTTATTTTAAATACTTTTGGTTGCTGATTAATTCTTCGAATAGAACATTGATCACTTACATGCGTTATTTGATGAAAAATCAGCCTTTTCACCTATGCGACACTTTCGGTCTGAATCTGGTAACACATGATATTTTGCTGTCACTGTCTTATTCCCATTCCGAGGAAAATAACAATTATTGTGTGGAAAGTGGTGAACTTTTATTAATATGTGGTACGAGGTTCTTCCGAGTTTTTTCATTATAACTGCCGGTTTGGGATTACCAGGATGGGCGCTTTACCATATTCACAATTTAACATTAGGCAATGTAAGTGACCTGTTTAGTGTTAGATAATCCATGTAAAGAAGAGCTACAATGATTAGTGATTATATCATGAGTTTCAACAGATAATAAATTTCGATGAAAATTATTTTTTCAAATTAAGAATATACATAAGTAATATCTGTTTATCAAAGTTTAATTGTTAATCTATTCTAAAAGTTCACTACCATAATGACACAGTACAGTTTACTATTGTAAACTTAATATAGAAGCATTCTTATTAACAGCTTAACCACAAAGACTGGAGAGAAACAGAGTATATTTAATATAATTTTAGTACCCTTACATACTAAATACACTTCAAAGTCTTACAATGTAAATAAAATGCCCTCTAGCACCACCGTCGCAGTCTCCACACTCTCTGGCAAAGAAGGGCATACCAGAGAGATGATCGACTTACAGGCAACCCATATGTAGTTAATGTGAGTATTGCCTTGAACTTTGTTATTCCTGCAATTTAGTATTGTACAAAATTATTCAAATCAAAGTTATACCTCACTGTTGAGATATTAGAAAATTTTATCAACTTCATTAATATTTGTTATTCTTTTCAGGGTCTAGAAAAAATACCTGATTAAATTTAAAAAGAATAACTATCATTGTATCATGTTGAAAATAAATTAATTTAGACTAGATGTGTAGTTTTACTTTACATTTTGGTTTAAAGAAAGTAAATTATTTGAAAGGATAAATATACTTTTTACATGCAATTGCATGTGATGCCATTATAAAAAGTAAACATTTAAGGTAGGTATTTAGATTGGAAATAATTATCAATGTTTACGGGACTTGAACGTAGGAGGAGGCTTGAACTTGAGGAGTAGGGTTTTAAGAGATTTAGATGATGATTTTTAGCAATTGTTTGAATTCAAGTTCTGTCCTGGTCATTAATTATTTTAATCTGAATAAGATTTTAATATAATTTCTTTTAAAGGATATGTAGGTAAATAGAATCTTATTGAAAGAAATAAAATATTCTTTTTAGTACCGCTTGACTTGATATCCCCTTACACACTTAAATATGGAATAATAATTAATATAATGTCAGTTCATTGATACTTAGTATTAGTTCATTATGTTATGACATTGACAGATGCGTAGTCGCAAGACTTAATATTGTAAATTGTCAACAACGAATCAACCAAAAGTCAAAACAATGTGATTTAAAATGTTCATATTACCATTAAAGTAATTATATTTAAGAATATAATTAGCATGGATAACTGTTTCATAGATACAACACTAGAGTTTTTACAAATTGCCTTTCATAATATTTTATACTACGCTTCCATTTATCCAATAAGCATTTTTGAGACTAGAAGAAAGTACAGCATTGTTGTTTATCGCTCTAATCATCCTGAGGTTAACGAGTACATTGATTTATGTTTAAAAAGTATTGCTGAATGTCTGCATAACGGAGATTTAAAACGTGTTGAGTTCGCTATAACTTCGAGTGATTATGAAGTGTTAATGAAGTTCGTCTTTGACTTGGATAAAAACGACACCCATGATGAAACACGTGATGCCTATTTGGTGCAAGCTGAGCAGAATATGCGGGCTTTCTGCCTAAAGTTAACCACATTAAGTGATAAGTTTACAGATTTACCTGAAGATAGAAGTTTCATGATATTCTTACATACAAATGAGTCGGCTGCTGTAGCTATGGCAGCAAACCCAGAATTAGAAAGTTTCCCACTTGTTGAAACTGAAGTAGAAACTGAATTTCAGCATATCTTACCATTGAGAAGGTTCTGTGTTAGGAATTATAATTTAGATATGTATATGGAGTTTAGATAATAGTATTAAATTATCTTATTTAAAAAGAAATAAAACAATCGATTTACAAAATACTATTATTGGGATTTAATTTTATCTTTAAGCACCGCCACCTAGAGTAAATTTCATCCCAATCTATGTAAACACCTATAAGTTTCCTAATATTATGTGTATTGTCTATGTATTTGTTTCTGCCGTGTAACAATCGTATATTATCAAACACCAGTATATCACCTTCCTGAGTCTTAAAATTAGCTGCAAATTTGTAACTTAGGTCATAAAATAGTTTTTGAGCTTCATACCATGGGGTTACATCTTGTAATTTCCCTGGAAAATGGGTGCCTCTCTGTGGAATTGAAAAGTTTATTCTACTAATGTCCTCATTTTGATCTAAGCATATGACAGGCGATCTATGCAGCTTGAAGAACTCATTTCCATTTTCAGTACCTATATCCGACCACTCTACCTCTATGTCTGTTAGAAGCTTGTATTTGGTATAGTGATTTTCCTTCATATAATTTGCTGTGTAGTGACAGTCTGACAGTAGATTCTCGCCACCTTCACCATGAGTTTGCACCAAACAATGCAACATATTTACCCCTGGACAGTACTCATAATAGGGCAAGTCAGTATGCATTTGTAAATTATTTGATAAATATGCAACATTGCTTGTATTCGGGACACTTTGTACTATGAACTTTACACCATAGTGAGTCTGCTTGGAGAAACCAATCCTGGATATAATATTTTCTAATGCGGCTTCATTGTTTGGGGTGTTCTGAATAAGTGATATGCCGTACACAGATAAATTATGGAGCCACTGAAATAATGCTGTGTCTGATGATATTATTGCATTATAATTGTGCTTACTACACAGTTTGAAAAAGTCTCTTCCGTGCCAAGTTGACTTTTTCGGTTTGTAAATTTCCTCGTCGTATGTCGTCTGGTGTTTTGGTTCAAACGAATGGAGCTTCAGCCATTGCGTTCTGAAGCTGGAGGTGTGTCCATCGTCCCATGTAATATTTACGTAATTATCGTCACTGCTGACGCTTTTTGGCTTTGCATTGGTATTGAACTGGGAATAGTCGATGATACGGCTCTTCGCCGTTTTATGGTAACATAATTCACATTGACAGTTGTCTCTTAGCCACACATGAGGGAATCTAAGCTCCTCCTCCCCGACTTTTAACTGTAGTGAGTCGTGAGTGCGCCTCTTTGTTGGATTGAAGAGACTTGATACTTTATTTGACCCGACACTTTTAAATCTCCTTAACACGTGCATCATGTTTCAAAGTCCACAATGAACTAAAGTATTTATTATCGAAAAAGATAAGAGAAACATTGTCAGTTTAACTGAGACGAAAGGCCAGCCGTTCGGATCGTTTCGACAACAATTCAGTTAACAGATGTTAAATAAACAAGTTTAGAAAACCAGTCCTGACCTTGGTTATATTCATAAAGCATTGAAAAAGTACCAAATTAAAGTGGAAGCCGTACTCATTGTCATCTTCTATCATTATCTAAAAATTTTAATAAAACAAAATGTCAATTAATAATATTTAATATCGATTTCAACGTATGTATCACAAAACTGCTCAAAGCATAGGTAAATATCACACACAGAGGTATTCATTGATTATAAGTAAATACCTAAAATTAAATAAATCTGAGTGGAGGTTGATACTTAATATCTAACTTAACTTATTTGAGTATTTTTATAAATAGCTAAATGGGGATGCCCATTTCAGGGCAAAGGCAAACAAAAAAAACTTGTTGCCAAAAATATATGATGTTAATTTTGAAATATGTATAAAATTCATACACAATTTTGGGCCTGTTACACTATTGGTTGGGCATTCCTATTTATTATTTTGTTTTAAAAATATTGATCGTAAAATTATATAACGTCTTAAAACTAATGATGATTTTTGAAGAGAATCACCCTGGTAGTAAACATACTTGTATCACAATGCACTATGAATCAAAATTTAAAAAATAATAATAATTAGTGTTGCAAACAGAATTTGACTCTATGATAGGCATTACTTAAAATACCACGGATATTCCAGATGTCTTCAAATCTTTCAGGTTGAGTGTTGAAGTTGCTATCCGTGGCTTTGACCCAGACCTCCATCTGGTAGAGAAGTAAAGGAATTATATACATTGCTATACCATAAAGCCTTTTTAATGACCTGCTCCATCCAGAGAAAAGGTTTTAGAGTTTAGCACATTGCTCATTTTTATTCTGTTCTCATTGTATAAGTTCAGGTTCAATTTAGCTAACCAACCACAAATTCAAGGATAAAAATAATTATTCTTTATCTAATGTTTGACGTCAAAATTGCGTAGCGATATCAAACCGGATGAATAGATTGTTTATGTTAAAATTATCTTTTAGTCATAGTTTTGTGTTAGTTTTAAAGTTTAACCCGATAAAGAAGGGAGAACCTAAATATATACAGCGTATGTTATTTTAGCCATTTTTTCTCGGTCTTAACAAATAACAAATATGCGTACCAGCCATGCCTCTGCTTACCTGATTAACAGATCGCTGCACAGGCACCTTTAGAGACCACAGCGTCCAGGAGTAGTGCTGCCGCGGAGGTGCGGGGTCGCTTTGTAGTTCTGCTTCAGACCAGGTCTTGCCCTGGTCAGTGCTAACGTCCACACGAAGAACTTTAGCTCCGCCACCGGAGTAAGCGTATCCTGCGCATAAAAAATAAAGTTATTTGTTCTTATTTAATTCTTGTAATTGAGCGTTACCTATAGAATTATTATATCATATTTTACCTTTGAGTGTGACTATCCCCTCCTTAACTGCAACTGTGTCCCCTTCGAGTGGATCGCAGAGCGCTGAAGTAACCGGTAAGCTATAGACAGGGGGAGCCGTGCTGAAATCTGCAGTCTCCCAGGTCTTGGTCGGATTGAAGGAACGGTAGTCCTTCTGGTGCCAGTGGGAGGGGCTCTCGTCCTTCGATATTGTTATTGATTCTGCAGAGATTTTATTATGAAATGAAGACACAAAAACGTGAAATATGTTGAGCATAACTTTAGGAAACCAAAGCCGAAGAATAAAAAGTAGAAGTAGGTACATACTATTATTTGGTATTCGACTCAAAAATGGGACATTAGGTATAAACTTTTAACGTGAAAACCTGTAACGTTTTTACAGTTACCAGGTATTTAAGGCATTATGACGACTTTCGCAAAAGCAATAATTAAGGAACTTCAATTTCTTGTTTCTGACAAAAGAGAATAACAATAAAAAAGCTCACCCAACCATTTGACGCTTCGGACGGCTGGAGCCCCAGGCACTATTACCCGCAGCGGGTATCCATGATCCAAGGGCAACGGCTCCCCGTTCATCTTGGTCGCGAGGATTATGTCTGCCCGAGGATCCACTGCGAAGTGTAGCGGTATGGACGTGCTGAAATTTACTCCTGTGGCATCCATGTCCGCGCCTGTGAACTGCATATCATTCAACTATTGCGGACTTCATCGTAATACCGACTGTGCTAGTGGCTTCGTCCGCATGGAATCATTATTTTTGCCATTATAACATTTATTTTCTCAGTTTTATAAATTACTAGCGCGCTCGACTTCGCACGGGTAGACATAAATAGGTGGTACAGATATTTAAATTAAAAGCATGCTAATTAAAACGCCCATGAATCACTAAATTAGAAAAAAATGTATTGCACGACGTGGCTTCTTGTTAGCGATCATTGTCTAGCTCGCTGTGTCAGGACCCGCTGCGAACTTTCAGTATGAGAGTCCCGCGTGCACGCGTTCGCGAATTTCTAGCTCTATTCCTTTCAAGTCGCTGCGAACGCTCGGCGCTTGGCTGTCATTTGTATAGATCCGATATTCAAGTTCAAAGCGCTAGTTCTTAAAAGAACTTTGACAAATATTATGCGAAGTGTGATTCCTAATACTAAAACTAAGTAGCTCTGAAAATAACTTTTTACTTAAGTGAAGCATTATTCCACTATAAGTCCACTCTTATTTATTATTATATGCGCCACCATTATTTTCATTTTAATTAATATATCTTTGAATGGTATGTCGATTTAATAATTAAAGTAATCATTAGGTATTGAGATAGTTTGGATATTAAATTATTTATTTGGATAAAAATGTATAAACTGTATAGATAACACGGTTATTTTGATCGGCATTACAAATTAAAAAATATTATAGACATAACTAAAATGTTAAATATGTCTAGATGTTTTTTGTAATATTGATATACTTATAGTATTGTCACATAAAATACAAATCTTTCCTCTTTTTTTTTTCTTTAATCTATACTAATATATAGTATAGATTGCTCACTACTTTATCCGCTGCTCGTGTTTTTGTAATTCATATATAAAAATCATTTTTATAGATATATTTTTGGTTTCTTGAATCGTTTTTCAGGACCCCGGAAAACTGTTTCTCTCACATTTCCCTCAGATAAGCCTTTCTCAAATAAATAAATGTTCAGTTTGAACCAGCGCTTCCTCCAGCTCCAATTCGAAATTGCGCGTTTAAAGAAACTCTTCAGCTTTATATATTTGTATAGATTTACTATAATTTAATCCACAGAATATTGAACAAGCCAGTAGTGAAACAAAATTAGTATTGTACATACATAACATTCTCTTAATATAAGGTTAAACTAGACTCACAATGACATGTTTTCCATCTGTATCCTCCGGGTCTACGCCACAATGCAAAAGAACGTCCCTCAGTCGTACTCCAGTCCAAACTGCGTTACTAATAGCGCCACCCGCCCAGCTTAATCCCTTTACTGGCTTCACCTGCTTTAGGATTATATTCATACAAAATATATTCATATAAATTGTTAAATGCTTTAGGCCATTGTAATTAACGATATAACGTTTCGTCCTCATTACCCTGGTATGTTCCCTCGAGAAACACTTAAATCCTGGTCATATGAGATTTAAAGTATACTATGGAAATTGAAGCTTAATAATAAACCTAAAACTTTATAACGCCTGCTAAGTTTTTGACGGCACACTCGCTTAACAAATTATTTTTATCGCTATTGTTAGAAGTAATATAAAGATAAACATAACGTACGTATTTTCACTGAAAAGAACTTGTGAACTGAAAGGCTTTCCATTTACTAGAAGTACTTAAGGGGGACAACAAAGAATCGAACACCTGACCTCACAATGAAGATAAGTCTTGCTCGATTATTTGTCCCAATACGGGTCTGCTAGAAGTAATATTGGGTTTAATTTTTTGGTTGGTACCAACTTATTTTTTTTGGATGTAATGATAGCGGACATCAAAACAAAATGCGCTGTCGACCTATTTTGGCTTTGGATATTCGGAAATCCGGACGGAAACCGAAACCTTTTTCATCTGTGGACGTTGATTCGTGACCCGGACGGAATTTCTATATTCCTACCACCCATTTAATATGCAGATTTACAGACGAAGTCCAACGTTGAAGCCGGTGGGTATCGAACCCACGAACCGTTAATTATTAGCCATACAATGCTACGATTAGACCAACAAGCCCGTCAACATAAATTCCATCTAACAAAAGATCTAAAATAAATTCAGTCAACTCAAATTTTATATACCCATAGTTTTTAGATAAAGTATTTGCAACATTGCATAATACAGCTGATAAAATTTATCGTTTATCAATACGTGCACACTGAAGTGAACTTGATTTTTATCAGTCAATATTTCTTAAGATATCTATAGTTATTATGTATTGGGGACTTTGATAAGAAACACAATGTCAATGTTGCCATCAAAGTCTAATATTCATCAAATAGAAATATTATTAAACATTAATTATATGAACTTAAAAGTATGGTCATGGTGGTACCTTGTTATATGTTATAACGACTCGTTAAAGAACTAACCTTGTTCATCTCACTCCGGCGATTACCAGCACACATCAGCGCCGCGCGAATGGAAACCGTCTTGAATTTTTCCAGCTCTTTCAGGGTAAACTCAAATTCTTTATTCTTGGCTCCTTTTAAATAAATCTTCATTTTATGGCATTTCGCGTCCAATTCGGGGACCGGCATATGTTGACGCACGTAGAACAATTCGCTGAAAGTGAACAAAGAACATTGCAATATATATTAAATAAAAACTGGTTATGAACGAGGTGGGACTCGATCCCTGACCACAGAGCGATAAATAACCTTGCTTGTTGCTTCACTGTAAGTAAGTGTAAGGAATTGAAACTGATAGATTGCTATTCACATTGGCAGGTTACTAGCCTTAAATTAATTGCTTTTTTTACCATTCCGTATGTTACTGGCACAATTGCTTTACAATAGTAGGACACTTGCTTTTTAACAGATAATTGGTGGAAGAATATAACTTTTTACAATACCTAAGTACTGTCCTTGATAAATTTTCTTTGCCACATTGTATTTACATATCCTATAGATTACTTACTTGGGCGTATCGAAGTGTTGCACCTGCTCCTTGGGTGGTATTTCGGCGTTGAAAGGTTTTGCTGTCTTCACGAGTAACCTATCGTCCCTAAAAGGCTCTTTGGCCCACAACTCGTCGTCAGAGTGGTCCAGAACGTCTTCGTCGTGAAGATTGCCTATAAGTTAATTAAATATCTTAAGTAATAGACAATATTGTTTATAGAGTACAGAATTGCAATATTTCACAGTAAGAACAATACTGAAATAATTTTACCTATCCTGTACGACTCCAGCAGACGATAGACCTCCTGAGTTTTATGCATTCCGTATACATTCCAAAATGGCTCTATACTGTAACCACCAGCGTTAAGGATCTGCTCCCCACCAGGATGTGAAGGTAGAAAAGAAGTGACATCATACACTCCATGCTTGTATGTCACCCAAAAACTTGATCTGGCCAAAACAGATAATAATGTAGAACAAACCTTTGGTGGTTTACAATACTGTCTATAGTCTACGCAAGTGGTCACATTTAAATAAAACACTTTAACGGTTTAAAACGCGATATATTAGTTCTCCCCCGTGACCACGGCTGCTGCAAAGCATCCGAAATGTAGGACCGAATCATTTTCAAATAAGATTAACTAATATATCGCGTTTTTTTTAAAGTAGTTTTATTTAAACTTTGGTGGTTTACCATAATAAGGCCCCGTTTGGCCTTAATTTTTTTTAGTTCACTACATTTTAGTAATGTATACATTGATCAAGACATATTAACAAAAACCTCTTTTTATTTTTAATTTAATCCCATAAAAAGCTTTAATTTCTTTTAAAAATAAATTATCAGCAAAAGATTAGGAAATTCCATGCCCCCACACGATCAAGGTATCACAAAACCAATATCCGATAATTCCGTCGAAATTATCAGAGTGAAAATGCTAAGTCACTAGTGCAGTATCTATGGAGGTAGATTATCTTTGAATGTCAAAATCAGCAACTGATATCAATACGCAAGTGTTAAGTTTGAATATACAATGCGCGAGAGGTGCATGTATCAATAAGTTGAAAACAATCGACGATGAGGTGTAGGGCTCGGTAGCTCAATTGGTAGAGCAACAGCACTGAACGCTGACGATGCCGGTTCAAGTCCTGCACGAGTCGAAAATTTTTTCAATTTATTTTCGATTTTTAAACAAATATCAATATTATGAAATCCAAAGGATATCACAACGCAATTACCAACTAACTGTGTCAGCGACTTCGTCCGCGTAAAGCACTTGTTTTGGGCATCCAAATTTGGTTTTGCAATCTTTATAAATTTAAGTTTCATATATTAGTATAGATTTACAATTGTTTGAACTTGAAAACTAATGAATATGTCATGCTAAGACACATAAGAAAGGTAACACCTACTAAATGTTAGATGGTGTTAAATTTCAAATGTGATAAAACAAAACTGCCTATCTGATTATCTACTAGGTATGTATTTTCTATTATTTTACCACCCACTAAAATTTTAAGATTTTCAAGTCATGTTTCTGATAAAAGATAATTAATTCTAAAATAAGTATTATCAATTGTTAAAATGTAGTTTCAGATAGAGGTGACTAAATGTTGCAAATTCCATGATAAAATATTTTTTGCTATCAATTTGAACAGCAAATTGAAGAGGAAGGAAGGTGTTGTTTGCTTATCTATTTAAGGTTATTATTTGAATTTTCCCACTTTATACCCAAAATATTTTTCCCTTAACTTATAATAATTTAAAATTCAATACATCTTACTTGGTTGAGTGTTTGCTAACTTCATCAGCTCTATAAGTTGGTAAATCTGTCCGTTTAATGCCTGCCTCTATTAATTCTTCTTTCTTATCTGTTTCACTGAGTTTCTCTAAAACAACATTAAGTAATTAAAAAAGTAAAAGAAACAGAATCCTACTTTGTATTTTTAGTACAAATTAGTATAGTATTGGTTACATAAATTAGATATGTAGAAGTAGCCATAAATAGATCATGTATGTGAAAATCAGTCTTCCTACATGGAAGGTCTTATTTGTAAAAATGACATTAATCAAATATTATGCTATTATTTTAGATTTTAAAAACAACACTCAAAATCATAATGTAGTATCAATAATTATTAGTTGTACCTATGTATACAATAATGATCAATACCTTTAACAGCTGATCCGACAAGAACTGAACCGAACAGGACTATAGCAGTTTTCCCAAACTTATTTCTTACATCATTCTTATGGTCTTCATAATGATTTCTAACTAATAATGGTGTAAAATTCAATATCTTTTTGTTCTCTCTACTAATTGCTCTGAAAATTTATTAAAATTATTCAGTTGGAGAGAAATACGATTTTCTACACCAATGTATCCTAGGTTTAAATAAAAAACATTTTGAAGAAAACTGAAAGTTGCGTGAATTATTTATCCTATTTATTTATTATAAAATTATTCAAATGCAAGTTAGACAATGCTTACCTAAATAATAAGGTTTTAAGAGACATCTTTTCAACTCAGAGCCTCAACAAAATATGACAAAACCGTGTCAAATTGGCGATAATTAATGTAAATGTAACCTTGCTTGGTGTCTTTTATCTTATCGTAAGAATTGTTTGCTCTAAATAACTCCATAAGTACACATGATATTTCTTCGATCACCGCTTCGATTATAAACACAATTGCATTGTTCCGATTCGAAAATATTATTGTAATGTAATGATGATTGTTTTGATGAATAACTTGCAAAATCGCACTTATCTCTTGTCATCAAGTTGTCATATCGTAACTAACGTCAATGTTCACCTTGCGATCTGCATTTAGGGGGGGCGATGTATTATACATATATGAATCTGCTGTTTTAAAAGAAGCAATATTTACTCTTAATGAAATTATAATGTTATTCCATTAACAAGTTTTCCAGATTTAACAAGAAATCATATTATAGACGCAATATTTTTTGACATAATTTTATTTTTGTCAGAGGCTATGTCAAATAACCACAGATTATGATATGGATTAAAAACATTAAACAAGAATATAAGAATATTATTGACCTCCGTATGATTCTCACCTTCCTCTATTTACCTTACTTGAATGAGTATACGTCAAGCTCCCGAGGCTCTCACCTACATTGTAGTGGCCTGAGCTGAGACCGTAGCTCCCCTTAGCCTAGCAGCAAATATAGCCAACGATTACGCGCTGACCTAAGCGTCCAGTCGATAATGCGGGCCCGGGCCAACAACCTCTAAAACCAGCAAGAATATATAATACTTAGGAAACTAAAATATACGTGTGAATAAATATAAATACATATACACATAATAAAACTACAAATAGGTATATTTCCTTTATAAAATATTTTTACATCGTAATTCATAACAAGAGCAGTGCTAATTCGAAATACAAATAATAATTTACCCTATATAAATATACCATATCTGTTCCAACTATAATACCACATAAGGGTAAAAAACAACCATAAGCTTGGATATTTGGAAATCCACAGACTTACACTGTAACGCTATTACACTTGACGGCTCTTTAATCTGTGGACGGCTTTTCGATATTTCTACCACTTATATAGTATTCAGATTTCACCAACAACATGTTTCAGAAAAATTTAAAATTAATTAGAATATTAGTTGGACCCAGTGGGGATTGACTCCACTACCCGATGGTTATTAGCCATACACTGCTACCATTACATCAAAGAGCAAACGAAAACTATAAAGATTGAAAAAAAATTTATGTGAAATATCACTAACGGAATTTGAACCGGCATCCGAAGTGTTGTTGCTCTAACCAATTGAGCTATTTAACATGTAAGTATATTAAAGGTTTCAAATATCATGTACTACTACTAATGTAAGCGAAATAGTGTCGTGATATGCTCAGAGTAAAAAATACTGTGCATTCTTGTTTCTTTGCTAATGAGTTTTTAAAGACCTTTCATTAGTTACATATAAAAGTAGCGCTAGTGCACTGCAAGTCGTCTTTAAATTTGTAGATCATAATGGTTGATTTGAATTGTACGATATTACACAGCATTCCTCCGTCTTTGTGTAAGATTTGTGATTATTTACCTATCAACAATTTATTTTTAACATACTATCTTATCCACAAATATGAAATACAAGATTGATATTCAAAAAATACTTATATCATTAACGGCTTTTCAATAATACGTTACGTAAATTACAGGCAATGTATAGAAAACCTTGTCTAAAATATAAATGCAAACATTTTATATAATTAGTGAGTCCCTTATATTTATTAGTGTCGATGTATGCCAATAATCAACGGGTCGTGGGTTCGGTCCCATAATGTTTCTGAAACATGTTCAACTTCATCTGGAAATATGGCAAATGTGGTAGGAATATTGAGATTCCGTCCGGGTCACGAACCACCGTCCACAGATGAAAAAGCCGTGAAGTTTTATGACGGTTTCGGTTATTTCTTAGATCCAAATAATAGTCGACAGCGCACCTTGCCGAGATATTAGCTTTACGTTTTATTAAGCAAAACCTCTTTTTTTGTCTGTCTTTCTCTATCATAAAACGACCAATTTTTTTAACCTTTCTACAGCAACAGAATCAAGATTTTGAATTAGTACCACAGTGCACTCTGCTCTTATTGCAAACAGCAATGATCGCTTTTTGTATTGGTAGACAAATGACTGTTGTTTTAATATTCTTTATCAGAATAGGTGGGTAAGTGGGGATGATTTGAGCCCTGAATAAGAACATTTAACAGATTCTTCGAATTAACTTACCACAATATACCTCCATTTTATAACAGGCGCTTTCGGAGTTAAAACGATCTAAGGAGCACAAAAAAAATCGAGCCACTGAAGTCGTGAATAATACTGTGGTCCAATTGAATCAATATATCTTTTTATGTGTTATTATTTGTATGAGTGTATTAATTTATTATTCTTTTAAAAAAGCCGGCATTTACTTAGTACGAGTTAAGAATTTTCAAGTTCCAAAACCCGAAAGTAATCCCAAATATAATGTATGGCCGAGAATATTCCTGAAACTTACACGTAAGCTCGTAACGAACTTCTTTTATTAGCTATTCGTTGTGCGGTGTACAATTTAGCGACAAAAATATTATGCATTATACAAATTATTTTTCCGTGGATTTTGAGTAAAAAGTGCTTAGTTTTTTGTTACATATTGGATAAGAGATTTTATTTTTTTCGCTTAGATTTTTTTTGGCTTATCGAGATAAGCAAATAAGAATATTTCGTCACATGATATACACAATGAACAAGTATTGTAAGAGGCTAAAATTGAATCGTAGTTCTTAGGTTGTTACGTCTATGTTTGTTTATTTACAAAACGTCTTATATTCTCCTTTAAGAAGTTATCCTAATGTGATATTATATATAAAGCTACTTTTAAAAAATCACTCAGGAAGCCGTGATAGGTTCTATTTAACGGCAAGAAAGTACAAAGCAAAGGTGTATAACATTTTACAACAGGCGCTTTAAAAGGGAACCGAACAAATATTAATGAGTTTAATGATAATTGCTATGAAAAAAGTAGTGAAATATGCTTGGAATATTTAAAATGAAGCACTTAAACGGTTTGAAACGTGAAATATATTAGTTAAAATTATATTAACTACAGCCCGATGTTTCAAATAAGTTTAACTAATACATTTCGCATATTAAACTGATAAAGTGTTTTCTTCAAATGTGTACTATTCGCGTAAACTATAGACAGTATTTGATCTTGAATATGTTTTTGTTTCAAATCGCTGTAAGTAGACACAAACCTCCTAGGACAGCGGCAAGAGTAGGTACCGTCTTCCCGCTTCGTTATTGAAAAACTTGCGTACGTGACGCGTATACTAAGCTAATTTACTAAAGTGAATTATTATTACAGTACAGGTGACGTACGGAAAACATATATTTTACACGTATTGCTTTCGGATTGCTATGAGTTAAGTGTACAAAATATTCAATAAATAGTTGGCTTTCAGGAAGCGTTGTTCCCGGTGGATACCTCAAAATTTGAACGAGGCTCAAGAACTCCCTTGTGCCGATTGTTGCCAAATTTTGTTTTGGACATAGTTATGAGAGATGAAAGCTATATTTAATGTAGTGATGCCGAAATTAATTGACAGACAGCTCAGTGGTTGTTTTCTTCCAAGCAGTTGCCAACTAAAATCAAGAGAATCGAAAAACCGTTATTAACAGTAAGAATTGTTTGCCACGTGTTTTGGAAAAAGTGCATGAGAAACTCCTTCTTCGCCACGACATTACTTCGTCTAACACCAGGCAAACGATCGATTATTTGGCAACCTCAGACATAGCACTTTTGAGTCATCCGCCTTATACCATTGACTACGCACTTTGCGCTTTTTATTTATTCCGAAAAATGAAATAAATTTTCGATGAAAATGTTATATGGACTCCGAGAAAGCTGTGTCTACGTTTCAGCCGCCGAAGAGATCCCTATAAAGGAGTGGGCATAGTGTTTTTTTCATTGCTTCTATCGGATGCAGCGATGTATTGACGTCGATTAACACTATTTTGTAAAAATATTATAAAGGAACAAGGTTCCTATCTTGACTAGTTTTCGATTTTCTAAGAACTTTCAGTTTGACCCTCAATTTTAACTATCTTAGTTGTATTAAATGAACAATATCACGGAATAATTTGATTCACAACAATAATTGCCAATTAAAAGTAAACTGGACTTCTAACACAATATCATTAGTCGTTTGTTTGTTGTTAGTTCAATGTGTATAGAATTATTCAATGCCGATAATATAAAATCAATTCGCTTAAAGATCGATCACACGGGGTGACATTAAAGGGGATTATAAATCATTTTTATAAATTTATCATCTCTTGCACGTGGCATTATTCAATATGATGTATGATACAGGTGGGGAATACTAGCTGAAGGGCGTGTACACACTTAATTGTGAGGTTGTGTGTTCCAATTCTTAAATTTAAACCTATACGCTGGGTCAGCGACTTCGTCCGCGTGCAATAGTTATATTGGGCATTTAAATTTGTTTTTGATAACCTCCTGTTGAACTCTATACATTTAAACTATAATCCACGACGTCGTCCGCGTCCCGTCGTTCTTGTAAGCTAATAAGTTTTAAAAGGTAGATATACTTTCACGTATTTTTTTAGTTTATTTAAATAGGCATGATTCCTTCATACATATCTTTTGAGTATCTTGAACCGTTTTTGTTACGAGGATGAATAATTTTCCCTGTTTTTTTTTTCACATTACCCGTTGTTTCTTTGCTTATTAGTCGCAGCGATAGCGTCTTCCTCGATAAATGCTCTAACCAACACAAAAATGTTCAATTCGAACCAGTAGTTACTGAAATTAACGTGTTCACACACTAATAAACTCTTCAGCTTTATATATTAGTATAGTTTTTTGGATCCTAAGGAAAAGAAATAAAAGCTTATTACCATGGATTGTTTAATAAATTAAAAGGGATCTGATAATTGCATTGATTACGGCTACGCGACAAAGAAAATTGTTTGAGCGTGTAACATTACAAAACGTTTAAATACTGTCCGTAGTTTACGCCAGTAGTTCATATTTAAATAAAACACTTTGACGGTTTACGATTTTGACGGTTCAAACCGAAATTAGGCCGAAATTAATTAGTTAATAATGTATTGTAAAATAATTTTCAAATAAGTTTAACTAATATATATCGCGTATTAAAACGTGAAAGTGTTTTATTTTAAACTGTTAAACCATTTTTATTAAATTTAATGATTTATTAGTATTACTGTAATTATTAAGTAATATTATAATATTGCTATAAGGTAAGGAATTGTTAAATTAATTTTTCTCTAAGCCAATAAGATACGAATTTCTGATATATTTGCGTCTTATTTCTTAGTATTTTCACTACTCTAATTAATAAAATCTCGACCGTCTTTTTTCTTCAAACTGAGAGAATATCGAGGTGATTTAACAATTATAGGAATGGACCATCTTTTGATTGCTTTAATTCTCATAGTCGTCATTGTTTTCTTGCTTCACTGTAAACTCTATAGTCAAGACATCGTTGTCATACGACCATTCTCCTCCCTCGACATTGCTTGGCAGCGATCTGGCATTTATGAAGTTATCCTCAGAGTTTCCGCGTTCATGATGAGCTTCAACTACCATATTATGCTTCTTCACTACTACGCTTATCTCATCTTCCTTAAATCCAGGTATTGATAGCCTTATTATGTACTTTCCACCTTCAATACCCTCCTGCAGGACTGGATTAGGGAACCGTCTTCCTAAGTCCTCCATTTTCTCCTCGAACGTCTTCATTGTGTTTTCAAACTCTGTCCAGAACTCTCGAGCCTTTTTGTCTATCACCGCGAATTTATGGTCCATATATGATTCGATATCATTTTTCACCGGCTTGGGGGCCGCCGCGGCCAAAGACAGAAGTCCAATCAGAACCAATCTGAACATGTTGACGTTTGGTGTTCGACTGGTGAGAGATGCTGCGTCCAGCATTATATGTCTTAAATCACAATTCATTTTCATCGATTTTCCTTATTTTACAAATAGAAGACGCCTCGAAAACGGGATGATAGTATTATATGGGGTGTTTGTTAGCTTTAGTTGTTCTAGACATTCTGTTTGAAAACTTTAAAGCAACACATTTTTAAAATTTGTACATAGAGGAAAAAGTAAATACGAAGACAAAATTATAAATGAAATCTATTGTTACGTAGCAAAAAAGGTTTACTTTAAAAAGATTTATTTTTATATGAATACATAGTATTACTTACCGGAAGTTGCGTTACGCTGAACGTTTCTACTTTTTTTATATGTACAATTTTATTTATATGTAACTGATATTTTTTTATTTTACAGCTGGCTCTACTAATTTAGGCATTGTAAATACTAACACTAAATACTGGCTGTAGTATACATTTAAATAAAACATTTTAATGGTTTAAAATGAGATATTTTTTAGTTAAACTTGTTTGAAAATTATTTTTAACTACGGCCCGACGTTTCGGATGCTTTGCAGCAGCCGTGGTCACGGGGAGACTGTGTTGTTAAACCGTTAAAGTGTTTTATTTAAATGTGTACTACTCGCGTAAACTATAGACAGAATTTAGTGTTAGTATTTAAATAAAACACTAACGGTTTAAAACGCGATATATTTTAGGTAAACTTGTTTGAAAATTATTTTTAACTACGGCCTGTCTCCCCGTTAAAAATAATTTTTAAATAAGTTTTACTAATATATCGCGTTTTAAACCGTTAAAGTGTTTTATTTTAATACTAACACTATGAAGTAGATACATCCTTAATGCGTAAATGAGGAAAAATATTGTTTTGTCCAACTATTTGCGTCATACTGACATATTATTGAACTTCCTTTAACCTTTAATATAAGCATTTTACATTCTTAGAAGATAGAAACTATTATGTACTATTTAATTTAGAGCACCTTTTTAATGCTTAAGTCTTTAAGTTACTCTATTGGGAATGTCACACATTTCTCTATGCAATTATTAAAATAAAATAAAATATTCTTTATGGTCTATAAAATTATTTAGATTCTTTTAAAAATCGATAATAAATTGAAAAAAAATTTGACTCGGGCAAGACTTGATCCGGCATCGTCAGCGTTCCGTGCTGTTCTACCAATTGAGTCGAAAATCTTTTCAGTTTATTTTCGATTTTTAAATTATATAGTGCCTTCATGTGCAATAACATGTAAAAAATAATAAAGTTTTCAAACGTTATTTAGATTCGTCAAAAAGATTAAATAATATGTTTGTCGGTCCGTTAGTCGTGATTCTAGACAGTTAAAGATTCAACATAACCGAGAAGAACACCCAACGACTTACGTAGTAATACATTTTTGTGAATTTAATGGGCTAAGGAAAAATTCATATACTCACTGCCAGTAAGCCCTATCATTAAAGGAAACTTTTAAACAATAATACGCCTTTGTGAAGAAAGAATTTCTATTGCATTTGTATTTGCCTTCGAGACACTTTTTTACTTTTTAACTTATTTATTGATAAATTGGAAACCTCAACTGGCAATTACACATACGAATACAATTCCCCGCAAATGAATTAGTTATTTTATGGAGCCTATATTTGTGGATAGCTATCTTATCCTTATTTCGTAAGTTCATAGCATGCCTATCACTAATCTTGTTGAACTTGCTGAAGCTTATTTATGTAAGGTCATAAGAAAAATGCGTACTAGGAAAAGTACACTCTACTTACTCCGCTGGCGCAGCCACCCCAAAGTGGTTTTCCCCCCCCAAAAAAACCCCCCCTTTTTTTCCCCCCCCCCCCTTCCCCCCCCCCCCCCCCCCCCCCCCCCCCCCCCCCCCCCCCCCCCCCCCCCCCCCCCCCCCCCCTCCCCCCCCCCCCCCCCCCCCCCCCCTTTCAAATCCCCTTTTCCCCTTTCTTCCCCCCCCCCCCCCCCCCCCCCCCCCCCCCCCCCCCCCCCCCCCCCTTTTTTTTTTTTTTTTCCCCCCCCTTTTTTTTTCTTTTTTTCTTTTTTTTTTTTCCCCCCCTTTTTCCCCCTCCCCCCCCCCCCCCCCCCCCCCCCTCCCCCCCCCCCCCCCCCCCCCCCACCCCCCCCCCCCCCCCCCCCTTTCTTTTCCCCCTCCCTTTCCCCCCCCCCCCCCCCCCCCCCCCCCCCCCCTCAAAATAAAACCCTTACCTTTTTTTTTCTTCTTTTTTTTTTTTTTCCTTTTTTTTTTTTTTTTTTCCCCCCCTTCCCCCCCCCCCCCCCACCCCCCCCCCCCTTTTTTTCCCCTTTTTTTTTTTCCTTTTTTTCCTTTTCCCTTTTTTTTTTTTTTTCTTTTTTTTTTTTTCCTTTTTCCCCTTTTTTAGGAAATACTACTTTAATAGTTAAAAGACATGTTCAACCCAGACGTAAAACTTTTATATTACTTTAAAGTTAAAAGTATTCGGAATTGAATCTCGAAAAAATTAAGTTCGTTGATTTTATGACCAAACTTGGGGACCACACTATTATCCCCCGGTTTTTTCCTTTTTTGTTTTGTTTTTTTTTTTGTTACTTTGTTTTTGAATTTTTTTTGGGGTTTAGGGCCTTTTTTTTCCTCTTTTTTTTTCTCCTCTTTTTTTTCTTTTTTTTTTTGGTGGGGGTGTGTTTTTTTCCCCCTTTTTTTTTTTTTTTTTTTTTTTTTTAGGTTTTTTTTTTTTTTTTTTTTTGGTAAAAGTATGTTCCCCGCGTAACTTTTTTTCTTTAAGTTAAGTGTCGTTGAATCTTGAAAAAATTAAGTTCGTTGATTTTTGACCAAACGGTAAACTGAAACACGGCGATGAAAGGAGTGGCGGCGAGTTTCTTGCCAGCATTGGTATCATTTAAGAATTGGGAGTAAATGTAAAGTTAGATTCTCTAGTTATATGACGTACATAAGGGTACCTACATTAATAAATGATTTTGTGACTTTGACTTTGTCATTGAATCAGATCTTACCTGTAAAAATAAACTGATACAGACCATTTGTCTGTTATTGTATTCATGGTAACTTACAAAACTGTCGGTACAAATTCTGATCGTTCAGTGTGAAACACATGTAATCGTCTATAAACTCGCCCCATTAGACAGCTCATTAATATCGTTCAGCCCCTTGCCCCAAGTGGAGAGGTGGAGTGCAAGGTCGAGAAAGTGTAATTTGTCGATATTAGGGTGCGTATCCACAGACATACTGTAAAAACATAATCACGCGTTAACATACTTACATGAAGTATTATCTATAATCACGGAATATCGAATCACCATTGACCACAGAAAACATAAAAATTTTTCCGCGTTTTTGGAGAATGCAAGCCACAGAGTATAAATAAATTATCCCTTGTAACATAATTAACACGATTGGAATTTAAAAATATGACTGCATTCTAATGCATTCGACATGATTCGTTTAAAATCAATTGGCTTTGGAAAACCCTTTGTTTGTTTTTTTAAATTTTTTTTTTTTCCCCTTTTTTTTTTTTCCCCCCCCCAAAAAAACCAACCCAGTTTGGGGTGGTTTTTTTTTTTTTTTTCCCCCCCCCCCCCCAAAAAAAAAAAAAAATTCCCCCCTCCCCCCCCCCCCCCTTTCCCCCCCCCTTTTCCCCCCCCCCTTTTTTTTTTTTTTTTTTTTTTTTTTTTTTTCCCCCCCCCCTTTTTTTAAAAAAACGCCCCCCCCCCCCCCCCTTTTTTTTTTTTTTTTTTTTCCCCCCCCCCCCCCCCCCCCCCCCCCCCCCCCTCCCCCTCCTCTTTTTTTTTTTTTTTTTAGAACCTCTTGTGTTATGGGTAATTTGTAGATAATGTTATTACATAATAGATAAGAAGCTAATGACAATTTACAACAGTAAGTTCCCTTAATATAGAAATAATGGAAAAGGACAGACAGCATGTGATTCACTTCATAGTAGACGAAATAACCCAGCCATATAACATCCAAACAAGATGCAATGTCGACCTTTGGATATACGGAATGCGCTTCGGAATTCGGAATTTAGCTTTTCCTTATGTGGGGGGGGGGTGGGGGGGGGGGGGGGGGGGTTTTTTCTTTTTGAACTCAGACGAAGTTCAATATGTTTCTAAACATATAAATTTATTAGAACCATGTTAGACCCGATGGAGACGGACCCACAAATCGTTGATTATTTACCATATGTCCCTGAGCACGACAATACATTCTTTTTTAGTTTTTCCCAAATTCTTCCCTTCTAGTAACCTTGAATTAACACGTTGTTGATATAGACAGCTAGTTTTCGTTTTAGACGATTGTTTTCCATTTGATAAAAAGCGAAATACCTCAGCCATAAATCATCTCAGTGTCGCTGTCGACCTATTTTGGCTTTGAATAATCGGAAATCCACAGACTGAAACCCAAATGTGATCAAATTACACGATATTTTCATATGTGGAGGGTGGTTTGTGTTGTTAATATCTAGATTTCCAGGCAAAGTCCAACATGTTTAATAGTAAACTAATTATATTTAATATTAGTTAATAGTTAGTTAAAAGTCATAGTTTAATTGTATTCTATATTTCTATGTTAGTTTTTAAGTTCAGTGTCGAATTGGGCTCCCACCTGTCATGACATTGTAATTTTAATGATGATATAAATAAATGTTTAAACAATTTATAAGAATGAAGTTGGGTCCAGTGGAGATCGAACCAACAACGCGTTTTAGAATAAGCTTAAGCTATTTATTAATAAAATATTTGGGTATAAATAAAATAGTTCAGTGAGACAAGAATGTGTCGTCGACATGAGGAAATCGGGATTTCAAACTGACGAAGGAAAAATAGCGCAATTTTATTTGTTATTTTGCTTAGGATTTTGGAAGGAAGGCTTCATTAAGTAAATTAATCTTGTCTGTTCAAATTGTATAAAATTAATAATGTCGCTATGCAAGAAGAGTATACAAGTTTATGAACATCGTTTTGCCATCCAGCAAGACTAATTAGTTTGATTGAATTCCATCTGTGAAATCAGACGTTCAGTGCCCCGAAAGGTACGTAATTCATTTAAA